AGCGGCGCCTCTGTGCAGCATTCCAGTCGAAAGAAGGACATTGCCGCAGAGATAGAGACATTGTGGACAGTGTCCTTGCACTACGTGGGGTCTGTCGCCCTATTAAAAGTGCCGTATTCTTACATCTTAGCATCTTGGATATGTTGGCCTCTTCTACAGTCTTTCCAAGCAAAGGCAAAAGCTCAGGGATCCCCTCTGCTCGGCTGGGACTGTTTCTCAGGGTTGATGAGGGATGGCCCGGGGAAGTACTGTGGCCATGCCCACGGTATGCCGCTTGACATGGGCAGGTGGGGGTCCAATGCGTGGGTAAGACGCCGTGTCCCTGCTGTCAGCTGTCCTGACCCCAAAACCCAGCCAGCTCACTGACAGGAGCTGAGGCCGCCGTGCCCTTGGGGCAGTGGGGCCTCCCCGGTGACCTGGGCACACCCAGGCTTCGCAGGCAGGTCACAGAAGGGCTGAGGCTGGTCCCCGACCTGCACGGGGAGGGGGGAGGCGTCCGCGCCTGGCCCAGGCTGCCTGGGCCCTTGGTACCGGGCTGGCCCGCAGGCCCAACGCAGCCCCGCCGGGGAGATGAATCACCTCCTGCCCTGACGGGGGGCAGCTCATTGTTTACAGGAGAGCCAGGCTCCCGGGAGGGCTCGCCGCCGCGCCCTTCCTGTGCCTGTTATCTCTGCCCCACAGCCGCCCTGGGCAGCGCCAGCGGCCGCTGGGCTCCTCTAGGGCCAAAACAGATTTCCCAGTCGCTGCCAGCCCAAGGGGGCGCGATTGCCGGCCCGGCCCTTCGGCACCTCTCCGCGCCAGCGGAAGTGCTGCGTGTCAGGGAAGGAAGCGGGGCTGTGAAGAGCCGAGGCGCCTCCATGGGGCACGCGGAGGTTTAGGAAGGTGCTCCTGAAATGACACCTGATACTGTTATGATGGACCTGCCCCTGCCGTCCCCGAAATAAAAATCAAGTCACACGTCCCCCACACACCTGCACACGACTTGGTGCTACAGGACGCGCCCTCTCCACCTTTGATGGAACTTACAGCCCCGAGGAGAGGCGCTGCTACCCCCACAGTCCCAGGAGGGTCTCTTCCGGGGTTTCCGGCCCTGCGGCTCCCAGCAGGAGCCCCTCAGCACAAGGGCACTATGGAGGTCACATGGGACGGTGGGGACAGCAGTGAACGGAGACCGTGACTGCCGCGGAGGACACAGTGGTTGGCCTCGAAACACTGCAAAGGGCACTGCCGCGCGACCCATCAAACCCTCCTTCGGGTGTGCAGCCAGAAGAAAAGCAGGGTCTTGAAGTTCTATTTGTTTATATTCATAATATCCAACAGGTGAAAGCAATGCGGGGTCCACGGACAGGTGACGGATAAACAAAATGAGGCCTTTGGACAGAAGTCCCGCACGTGCTGCAATGTAGATGGAGCTGGAGGACGTTATGCTCGGGGAAATAAGCCGGTCACAAAGAGGCAAATGCTGTGTGATTCCACTTACGGGAGGTACCTTCAGTACAGGAGTAAAATTCATCAAGACGCCAGATTGAACAGTAGTGAACCAGGGGATGGGGGCAGGAAACGGGAGCTGTTTAATGAGCATTAAGTTTCAGCGTGCAAAATGAGAAAGTCCTGGAGATCTGTTGCCCAAAAGTGTGAATATACATACCCCTATTAACGGTCTACTTTAAAATTCTTAAGATGGTAATTTTTCTGTTTTTTTAATCTTTCAGGTTGCCTTTGTAATAATAGTAACTGTAAAAATTTTTTATAACACAAAAAAGAAACATTTCCCCTGTATTTCTGAGGGCACATAGTTCATCCCCTGTTGAGGAAAGGTACCTCTTTCTTTCCCTCTTTTTTTTATTACAAGAATACCTTCTATTAAAGGTAGAGAAACAAAATCCCAGTTCCTCGCCCAGGCAGGGGTCAGCAGTAGATGCCCAAACCCTTCCGTGAAAGGGTGCTGGGAACCAGGCGCAGGGACCAGGCACCATCCCCGCCCCCCGACGTTCGCTCTTCCTCACAGAGTGAAAAATGCATTTCTACCAAGAAGACAGATGGTGGTCACTTCCTCAAGCGTCGCTAACGGGGAGGCAGCCGCCGTGCCTCCCATTAAAACAGCACAGCCGGGGACCGCCCTTGCCAAAAATGTTTAACCTGAGCCAGTCAGACCCAACTTTCAGTTTCCAGGAGGCTAATAAAGCAAGTTCAGTGACACCATGAGGGAGCGATCAGGTCAGACAGTGGGACGTTCTGCTGGTCAACTGGCCTCTAAAAGGTCAATGCAGGGAGTGTTGTTTTAGAGTAAGAGAAAACAAATGCCATGGTGACGTGAATTGGACTCAATGTCAAAAGGAAACAACAGTTTGGGGACAACTAAGAAATTTTAATATGGATTGAACGAGATACTAGGACATTCGTGTTCATTTTCCCGGGTGTGATAAAGGCATCGTGGTTGTAGGAGGACCAGGTGTGGGCTGAGGTGCTGAGAAAACGTCATATCGTCAACTCAAATTCAAATGAAAAGGTAGATGGATACATGATGAGTGTATAAATAAAGTAAATACGGCAAAACATTAACTCTTGGTTGGGTCCAGGTGGTAAAAATACAAGTGATCTTCTCACTCTTCTTTCGACTTTTTTACATGTTTGAAAATACTCAAAATAAGAAGTTGGGCGCGGAGGAATCATAATTTCAAAGGGGGTCTCTTGGCAGCGCCCTGGCCCTGGGGAGAGAGTGGGGCTAGAGACTGTCCCCCTGAGAGGCCTCTGCCTTATTTAGACGGGGCGGTCGACACTGGGTCCCTGGTCACCAAGCTGTTTCGATCACCTATCCCCTATCATTTAACTAGTTTATTTACAGAAACAGCTACTGCCATTACCGATGTGCATTGTCAAGCGCAGAAATAGCGGATTATCGCCCTGCCCAGTGTGGCTTGGTTGGAGTATCATCCTATAAACTGAAAGGCTGTAGGTTCAATTCCTGGTCAGGGCCCGTGTCTGGGTTGCAGATTTGATCGCTGGTGGGGGCTCCCCAGTTGGGGCACATAGGGGAGGCAACTGATCCATAGGTCTCACATTGATGTTTCCCTCTCCACCTTCCTCTCTCTCTGGGATCCATAAATATATCCTCAGGTGAGGATTTTAAAAAATAAAATAAAAAATAGTGGGTTATCTGGCACACCCCTCGAGAGCGAACCACCCACTCAAGCTCCCTGAAGCAAGCCGGCGGCGTACTTCCATCCTCTGGATATCCCCAGCCCCTGCCACGGGAGCTCATTACGTGCTCGTGAAACGCAGAAGTGATTGAACTAAGGAGTGCACCAGCCAGGCCGGCCACAGCCGCGTGACGCAAGCTGGGGGTTGGAAGCGGCAGCCCAAAGCTCGAAGGCCGCTCCATCCTGTTCCCAGGGGCCCCTCGCCAGTCTGGCTGAGCCTGGAGAGGGAAGCCCCGTACAGGCCGACCTCACGCTCGCCCTAAGGCTGCAGAACGAGACCGTGAGGTTTTATTATAAAATGAATATGTACAATAATTCTTAACCCTTTGGGGGCCAGTAACCCGTTTGGGAATACAGTATAAATGAAAGACGCTCTTCCCAACAAACCACATTCCCACCTCACATACACCTAGAGTTTTTCCTGTGCTCTCGGGTGGTTCACGGACAGCACCCCCGCCCCAGGCCCACACTCGGACTCCTGGTAATGAAATTCCAGACTCCCAGAAGCCCGGGGAACCTCGTGGCTTGTCTTCTTAGGCTCCCTGGGGTCTGGCACTTCCCAGACCTGTGTACCTCAGCACCCCGGGGTCCCCTGCACACCAGGAGCCAGCCTCCCGGAGAGCCTGGCCGCACGGAGCTGCTCTCAGAGACGACGGGGCAAAGTAGCTGAGTGGCCACCATGGCTCACGCAGTCTCAGTGAACAGCCCTCCACATCCTGTCCCAGCCGCGCCCAAGGTTGCGCTGAGACCGGCAGGGCACCTGTCGGTTACAGGGGAGAGGGGGAGCCCTGAGGCTCAGGGAAGCCACCGAGCTATCTCATTTGGTTCAACTGCCCCTTCATTGCGCGCCTGCTATGTGCCAGGCACTGTGCTAGGAGCTGGGATAAAAAGATGTGCTAGAGAGTGTCCATCCTCAGGGTTCACTGTCCGAGAGAGAAGAAAATCCCCCAAACAGATCATCTCAAACCAGTGTGGTGGCTTGAAGCTGCATGGTTTGGGCAGGGGGCTGCCGGCAATGGCGTGTTCAGTGGCACTGTTGGCAGGTGGGGCTAGAGAAATAGATCCCGTTGGGGTCCCGGAGCAACTTGAGAGGCTCCAGCAGGAACACACGTTTATCAGCAGCACTTGAGAGATTGCACGGGAAGGACTGCAGGGGTCAGATTTGTGAGCCAGCATGTCAAGAACAACTACAGCAATTCGAGTGTCCACTCCCTGCCGGGTGGGTGCTGGTCTCTGATGGTTGTTATTCACAATGTAAGGAGGGTTAAGTAGCTTGTCAGGGATTCGGTCCTTATTCTGATCGCGCTCTGGACATGCGTCGCGGTTGGGAGGGTGGGGAGCCGGCGGGACCCAGTGAATGGCCCTTTCTGGGCCCATCCCTTGCGCTGGCACGGCAGGGAGGGAGGTGGGGCGCGCAGCCGTTGCCGTCGGGCAGTGCGAAGGCTCAGGGCTCAGGGTCCGGAGAGCGGCGGACAGCGATCCGGGGAAGGGGCAAAGAGGCCACCCCTAGCTCAGGGCAGCCCGGCAACCGAGGCTGGAGCCGGGGGCGTGGAACCTCAGCGTCCGGGGCAGGACTGGAGCGGGAGGGGGTGGCTCCTCCCTCGCCCCGCCGCCACCGTCTGTCGGGTGGCTGGGCCGGGCCCCGCGGGAGCCGCAGCCCTTTCCGGGGGGCGGGCCCCGCTCCTGCCCCGACAGGTGCGCACGGCGTGCAGGAATGCGGCCGGCCTGACTCACCAGCGCCTCCTTCCTACCTGCCGCCGCCCCATAAAGCGGTCCCTCCCCTCCCTCCCGCCCGCCCTCCGGACAGTCCGGCTCTCCGCACGCCTGCCGCCGAGCCGCTGAGCGGAACCCAGCGCGGGGAGTCCGGAGGTAGGTACGGCCTCCGACCCCGCGGGCGCGGGGGCACGGGGGCACGGGGGCACGGGTGCAGGGCGGGAAGGCAGTCGGGGGTCACGGGGCCCCAGGGTTGGGGGCCCATTCTGGGACCTGAGAGGGAGAAGGGAGTGCCCGCCCCAGCCTGGGCCGCTGTGCAGGGGAGTGGGTTGGGAGGGCCGGCTGGTTGGCTTTTGTTTCCCAGTTCTTCCCCTCCAGACGCTGGCCCCCTCTGCCCATGCTGCCCAGGGCAGGTGCCAAGCCTGCCAGGGTGTGCTCAGGGGGCCGCCAGACCAGAGGAACAGCGGGGCTGCAGAAGCCCCTTGGCCATCAGACCTCTGACTAGAGGAAGGCGGCGGGGAGAGGGGCCTGGGTGCGGGGCGGGTGTGCAGAAGTGGGCAGAAACCAGCGGGCCTGCTGGGCTGGGCTCCTCCCCGGTTTGCAAAGAAGGTGGAAGAAAAGACCCGTAGGAGAGGCAACGGCCCTCCCTGTGCGCTGGGCAGGGCCTGTGGGGTACGCACCGTCCCGCAGGAGTCTGGGAAGTCCCTGACTCTCCTCTTATTTATTTTTAAGATTTTACTTATCTGTAGAGAAAGGGGAATGGAGGGAAAGAGAGAAGGAGAAAAACAGGGATCGGTTTCCTCTTGCATGCCCCCAACTGAGAACCTGGCCTACAATCCCAGGCGTGTGTCCGGGGGTCCGGGAGTCGAACCCTCAATCTTTTGGTTTGTGGGACAACGCCCAGCCCCCTGAGCCACGCCAGCCAGGGCCCCTGACTCTCCCCTGAGCTGAGCACACGCCTGCCCTCCCCACAAAGTCGGCTCAGGACACCCTCCTTCCAGGAAGCTCTCCAGACCTCATCCAACAGCTGTGGGGGCTGGGCCCACCACTGTAACCTCCCACAGTGCCCCCATCCCACCTGCTTGGCACCGGGTGGCCCTCGGCTATGGTCCTAGGTGGCTTCCTAAGGCAATGACTGGGCTCCTCCTTCTCCCCTTATAGCTGTGCCATACCCTGAGCCTGAGGCTTGGGTACAAGTGGCACAGTTGTTGCTGCTCCCAGCAGAGCTGGAGGTGAAGGCTGAGGGGAAAGATGGCACTTGTGGGACAGCAGGGAAGGGGGTGCCTATCCCTTTGACCCTGATTTCCATGGAGGGGCCAGGAAAGGAGAAAGCGGGAGGGGCGGAGCTGTGGGGGTAGGTGCATTGTGTGCCGAGCTGGTCCCAGGGGGTGGGGGGAGGGTGGGTGTGGTGAGAGCGCTGAGCCTCCGCCCCCGTGGGTGTCAGGGTGTCCACGCACCCACGCGTCCCTGTGTGCGACGGTCTGGGTGTGCTGCAATGTGGCACTCTTCAGGGTGGCCGTGGCACACTCCTGGGATCTGGCTGGTACCTGAAGAGGCCCAGCAGCCCGGTGGCCAGGATGGCGCTCCGCCCAGCTTGCCAAAGCCCTGTCTTCTAAAAAGCCCCCCATCCTAACTTTTATACGAAACCTCATTGTTTTTATTACTAAGAACCACTTTAAAAACTTTACGAACACAAGTTGAGACCAAGAAAACACTCTTGAGTGCATAACCAGCCTCCCACCTGCTGTTTCATAGCCTCTGAGCTAACCTGGGGGCTAAACGGGGTTCCCGCCGAGGCTCCCAGCCACTGGCTGCTGGGCGGGGAGGCCCAGCCCCCTGTGCCTTGTCTCCTCACCTGGGAAATGGGGACCCTGCAGCGTCCCTCGCTGGGCTCCTGGGCAGATTAAAGAGCAGCCAGGCACAGGAAGTGTTGGCCCCATGCCCGCTGTATGCCCAGCCCATGGGCACGGCAGTGTAATTAAGAGCCTGCTGGGCCCTCTAGTGCCCGAACCTGCCTGCGTAACGGAGCCCCAGGGCGGCCAAGTCCACAGCCTGTGTTGTGTGGCCTGTGGGTGTGGTGCCTGTGCCCCATGGCCGCAGGAAACTCATTTCCCCAAGGAGCCCCGCTTCGGCCGACCCTGGGCTCCCTTACCCAGCTGGCTCCGCCTCTGGAGGTGTCAGAACTGCCAGTGGCCCCCTGGGGGCTGCACGCTTTGGAGGAAGAACGGCAATGCCTTCCTGCCCCCTCCCCCACGGCTTTCCCAGCACCGTGGAGGCCTCAGCCCTCCAGAGGCTGCCCTGCCCCACAAGCCTGGGACTGAGGCAGGACCCAAGGAGTTGGGGCAATGGGCATGGCGCGGTCTGAGGCCACCGGGGACTGGAGGCCAGGCCAACTCTTGCCCCTGGCCCTGCAGGCCTGGCGACCCCAGCCAGCCCTTCTGTTTCCAAGGCAGCAGACTGCCCTCCTCCTAAAAGGCCTCCGCGGTGCCAGGGCCGCCGACGGGTCCAGACGGGGCTCCTGGTGGCTGGCACAGTGCATGTATGTGTATGGAGGTGCAGGTTGGGGCAATCTGGCTCTGGGCCACCTTTGGAAAGGGCGGACGACTCAGAGGTCTTGAAAACTCTAGTGTGGGGCAGGCAGAGGCAGGTGTAGGGCACGGAGCCCCACCTCTGACAGGACGGGCAGCCCCCGAGGGACCCATCCCAGGGAGGGCAGGGAGCCGCCTCTTCCCCGCCGAACGCCTCAGACACCCGGAGGGGCCCTCTCCTCCTGACTGCACATCCTCAACAGAGGACAAGTGGGCCAGGACAGAGAGGGGCAGCAAGGTAGAGCTGGGCCCTCAAGAGGTGGCCCCTTATTAGGGGGCCCCACCCCTGACCCAGGCCCACTGGGGTCTGAAAGGCAAAGTCAGAGGCAGCTCTGGCCTCGATGACCCAGCGCAGAGACCTGGCGCCCGGACGAGCTCAGAGCCCAGAGTCTCAAAGGCAGGGGGTGGGGGCGTCCCTGTGCAGCAGCTGGGCTGCAGGGCATCTGGCCAGTGCAGGGATGGCAAGGAAGGGGGCGGCCGAAAAGAGGGGTCAAGGACCCCGGGCCCTGCCCCTCCCAGGCCGGGCGGCCTGAGACGTCACACTGAAGCTCCCAGCACCTCCGGGTCCGCACCTGTGCAATGGGAATGGCGGTGCCCGCCCTGCCGAGCGCCCAGGGGGCCCAGGGAGCGGGTGGCTCGGACACCGTTGTGAATTGTTGCTGTTGTGCAGGAGGAAGAGGATGGCAGGGCCGCGCCCCAGCCCATGGGCCAGGATGCTGCTGGCAGCCTTGCTGAGCGCCAGCTTCTCCGGGGACATGGGTGAGTCCAGCGCCCCCTGCTGCACCCCTCTGCGGGGGGAGGGGGCACCCCTTCCAGGCACTGCCCTTGTGTGGAGGCCTCTCAGGGGGTGTCTTGCCCAGACACTCACCCAGCCGGTCAACAAACCGACCGCTGCACACAGCAAGGGCTGAGGAGCTGTGAGCCCAAGCCGTGCGGTTTGAGAACACGCGGGGTGGGGGAGGCCTGGTTGGAAAGGGAGAGGAGCTGCCCACTCAGAGGCTGGAGGCCCTCGCAGGATGTGCTGAGGTCTTGAATTCCAAGAGAGGCCGGTGACTCATCCCCTGCTCTCCGAGAGCCAGCGCTGGCTGGAGCCGGCCCCTACCCGTGAAACCTGAAATTGGGCCTGTGGGGGAGCCGTGCTGATAAGGCGAAGCCGTGGGCGGGGCAGCGGAGACTCGCTTGCACCAGCTACCATCAGGGCTTCCCTGCCCCCAGGCCCATTGTTTGTTTTGTTTTTAAATTTGCTTTTAGAGAGAGAGGAAGCAGGGAAGGGAGGGAGAAAAGAAACATCAAGGTGTGGCTGTCTCTCATGCGCCCCCTACTGGGGCCCTGGCCCACCACCCAGGCATGTGCCCTGACTGGGAACCAAACCAGCGAACCTTCGGTTTGCAGGCTGGCACTCAACCCACTGAGCCACACCAGCCAGGGAACCTGATCCATCGTTAAACATTGACAACATGCCGTTGTTACCTGGGACCCAGGAGACACCCCGTGTGCACTAGATGCGCACAGTAGACCCTTACATGGTTTTAACTGAACAGAACCGAGGGAAACCCCGGGAGTTTTACTTCATCCATTTATTAATGACCTACCGTGTGCCAGGCCTTGGGCCAGGCGGTGGGGACACAGCAATAAATAAGATAAACACAGTCCCCTTTGTCCTGGAGGAGTGGGCGAGGGAGATGGCCAGGGTGTCCCCGCCAGCAAATGGGCCTGCCCGTCTGTGTCAGCCCCTGCTGCCCTTCCCTCTGGAGGTGAGTGGAAGATGCCAGGCTTGAGCCCCAGTGCCGCCCGTTTCTAGCCAAGCCACCTGGGCAGAGCGCAGTTCGCTGGCTATAGCCTCCGTTCCTCCCCTGAGAGCTGGGGAGAGACGCCCGCCTTGCAAGTGCGGCTGCAGGCGGGCGGGCCTGGTGTTGGCGAGGCTGGCTCAGTGGCCTGCCTGCCTGTCCTCCCACCCAGCCAACCGCTGCAAGAAGGCCCAGGTGAGAAGCTGCACCGAGTGCATCCGAGTGGACAAGAGCTGCGCCTACTGCACCGACGAGGTGAGCTGCCACCCACCGCCGCCTCTGCGCTGGGGGCCCCTCCTGGCCGCCCCGCCCCAGCCGCATCCTCAGCCCAGCCTCCTGCCAGGCATGGGTGGCAGAGCAGGCAAGGGGCAGGCCACTCAGGGGAAACAAAGCCAGGGTGGGAACAGCCTGAGGACAGGCCCTGTGCCCCCTGACTCTATCTCCTCCGGGCAGACGTTCCTTGAGCGGCGCTGCAACACCCAGGCAGAGCTGCTGGCCGCGGGCTGCCGGCTGGAGAGCGTGGTGGTCATGGAGAGCAGCTTCGAGATCACAGAGGTGCCCGGAGCGGGGGTCGGGGGCTGGGACCTCCATGCTCAAGGCTGGCTGTGTGTGGGGGTCTCCTCTGTCCCCGGCTGGACAGAGGGGCTCCCCGTCAGCTCTGTGGAGTGCCCTCCAGCCAGCTGTCCCCCTCCCCTGGTTGCAGGAGACCGAGATCGACACCACCCTGCATCGCAGCCAGGTGTCCCCTCAGGCACTGCGGGTCCGCCTACGGCCCGGCGAGGAGCAGCAGTTCGAGCTGAAGGTGTTTGAGCCGCTGGAGAGCCCCGTGGACCTGTACATCCTTATGGACTTCTCCAACTCCATGTCGGACGATCTGAACAACCTCAAACAGATGGGAGAGCACCTGGGTACAGCAGGGCCCGCGTGGAGGCCGGGGACGCGGGGGACAGGCTGGCGGCCTCGCCCAGCTAGCGGGCTACAGGCTCAGGAGGCCAGGGCCCAGGACAGCTGCACCCACCCTGCAAGGAAGCACAGGGCATCGGAACTGCACCCAGAGCTCCCTGTCTTCTCAGGGGAGTGTCGCAGAGTTTGGGGCTCCAGAGAAGGCCGCCTTCTCCAATGCGCTCGATGCGGGAGGCTGGTCCTCTGAGTCCCATTTCCCTCATCTGCAAATGGGGACAAGGGCTATTGGGAGCACGCAAAGTGTCCCTGGAAGTCACCTCCCTCTTCTTCCCGAGCAGCCCCAGCTCCCTGTGTTGATGTGGGGGTGCCGGGGCTCAGCTGCCCTCTCTTTCTCCTGTTGGTGTCCAGCCGCGGTCCTAAGGAGCCTCACCAGAGACTACACGATTGGATTTGGCAAGTTTGTGGACAAAGTCAGCGTCCCCCAGACGGACATGAGGCCGGAGAAGTGAGTGACCGAGTGGGCCGGGGTCCTGGCCAAGCACTCTGCCTGCTCCCCACCCAGGGGCTTCCACGCCTTTCGGGTGAAAGGAGCAAAGGGGGCAGCTCCCCAGAGAAGGTGGGCGCGGGAGAACGTGGGGTCCCCTTTCCCTGACTCTGTCCCCCCCACCTCTGCCCAGGCTGAAGGAGCCCTGGCCCAACAGCGACCCCCCCTTCTCCTTCAAGAATGTCATCAGACTGACCCAAGATGTGGATGAGTTTCGGAATAAACTTCAGGGAGAGCGGATCTCAGGCAACCTGGATGCCCCCGAAGGTGGCTTTGATGCCATCCTGCAGACGGCCGTGTGCACAGTGAGTGCCTGGGGTGGGTGCTGCCGGTCGAGGAGGGGGCCGCTTCTCTACAAGGGCTGGGCTGCCCGCTGGCCTGCTCTGGGGCCAGGCAACGCTCCCAACCCCGCAATCCCCATCTGGATTTAGATGTGTCGGGAGCCACGGTCCCTCAGCCTGATCGGTCACAGCCTGCTTTTGCATTGGCCAGCGAGGCAGACAGGAGTCCTGGCGTTCTGGAATCTTCCATGACTTGAGGCCAGCCTCCCACCCAATCTCCTCGCTAATGCCAGCTGTCAACTGGGCGGGGCAGCTGAAGAAGGCACTTCGTTTTATGTGCACGTCAATTTATTTTCCATTTTGAAAAGAGCACACGCTTATTACAGACAGTTCGGCAAAACAAAGAACAGAAATTGCCCGTGACCTCTGCATCATCAGACAGGCAGCCACTGATGTCCCGCCAGCACACTTTGTTCCCTCTGCCTCATTTTAGAGGGCTGGAATCTGCATGTTTCTAACGGAAACTTGCTTTTTTTTTCCTTTTTACTTGATGCACTTTCTCTTTTCGTAATGCATTTTCCCACATCGTCCCTCACGTTGTCTAACAAGGTGCCGGGCGCTGCCGTACCCGCTTTAACCAGCTTTTTTCATTATTTAACGTTGCACGGGGACATTTTCCTCTGCAGCTGAGATATTCTCGAGGGTGGCCCACGACCTTGGGGGTCAGCCGGACGAACCTGGTTCAGACCGTGCGTGGTGCCCACTGGGTGCACACACCTGTGCCCACTTCCTCTTCCCTGTCACCGGTTTCTGCTTCCCACGTCGCCCTGGTCACACGTGTCATTCGTGACAGTGGCAGCTGTTTGTCCCATGGCCTCTGTCGTGCGCGGCGCCGCAGCGAATGTCCTCAGCAGGCAGCCTGCTGGACGGGCACCCTCTTGCTCTCCCCAGAAGGACATCGGCTGGCGCCCGGACAGCACCCACCTGCTGGTGTTCTCCACCGAGTCGGCCTTCCACTACGAAGCCGACGGCGCCAACGTGCTGGCGGGCATCCTGCAGCGAAACGACGAGGAGTGCCACCTGGACGCCACGGGCACCTACACCCACTACAAGAGGCAGGACTACCCGTCCGTGCCCACGCTGGTGCGCCTGTTGGGCAAGCACAACATCATCCCCATCTTCGCCGTCACCAACTACTCCTACAGCTACTACGAGGTGCGTGGGTGGTGGGCGGCCTGGGACCTCACTGGGCGAGGCGGGGGCGGGGTGGGCGTCTGTGAAACTCCTCAGACGTCCCTCGTCCGCCCTTCATGCCCTCTCCCTCCCTCCCCTAGACTGTCAGAACCTCCAGGCTGTGCCCTGGTGGGACTGGGAGGGCGTGTGCCCATCCCCCAACCCAGCTCCCAGGCAGGCGGGGGCTAAGAGGGCAGATTCTGAAATACACCAGCAGATTCCAGGCCTCAGCCACCCCGTCTGCAACGGCAGGGGCGGGGGTGGGGGGCCTCGGGCTGTGGCCTGGATTCCCCGAGAAGACCCCCGTCAAGGCTGAGCCCTGGGTCTGGCGTTCTCCCCTGCAGAAGCTGCACACGTACTTCCCCGTGTCCTCCCTGGGCGTGCTGCAGGAAGACTCGTCCAACATCGTGGAGCTTCTGCGGCAGGCCTTCGACGTGAGCGGCAGGGCCGGCTCAGGCCCGAGCCTTTTCAGGGCAGGGCCGGGGGAGGCGGAGGGGCAGAGCATGTCGCCAGGCTGAGCTGAGAAACAGGAAGGGCCCCAGGGAGCCCACTGAGGCCTGGCCCCAGGCTCCTGCGGGCTCTGCCACCTTGACCCGCACCACCCAGCCATCCACGCAGGCGGGGGTAGGGCACAGCCAGGCGCGAGTAGGGGAGCCCAGGCGCCCCCAGACCACTGACCACTGGCCCTCCTTTAGAACATTCGCTCCAACCTGGACATCCGGGCCCTGGACATCCCCCGCGGCCTGCGGACGGAGGTCACTAGTAAGATCCCGAAGACGAAGTCTGGCTCCTTCCACATCCAGCGAGGAGAAGTGGTACGTTCCGGGGGGCCCCAGGGCAGGGAGGACAGGCACAGTAGCCTGTGAGGGTGGTCAGCCCGGGCGGAGGTCAAGAGCATGGCCTCCAGCGTCAGACAGGCCTGGGCGTGAAGGCCGGAGCTCAGCCCCTTTGAGGAGCCGGGCACCGTCCCAGGCTTGTCCGTAATTTCGTCTGTATGGCGGGATCAGTCTGCGTGCAGCTCAGAGGGCGGCTCGGATGAGCGAACGGGCCGAAGGAGGCTCTTCTTACTGTCGTTGCTGTTGCTATGTCACTGTGCCCGGAAGGAGCACGTTTTCGGCCCTGAGGAGGAGCGGGCAGGGAGCGGGCTGCCTCGGGCGCCCCTGCTCCCCAGCCCCGCCCCGCCGTCCAGCGGGCCTGCCTCTGCTGACAGGGGGGTCCCTGCAGGGCACCTACCACGTTCAGCTCCGGGCCATCGAGGACGTGAATGGGATGCATGTGTGCCAGCTGCCAGAAAATGACAAGAAGGGCCACATCCACCTGAAGCCTTCCTTCTCTGATGGCCTCAGGATGGACGCAGAAATCATCTGTGACGTGTGCGCCTGTGAGCTGGTACGGCGGTCATGGCCCCCAGGGAGGGAGGAAGGAGCTGAGCCAACCGCCCCAAGCCCCGAGTGGGGAAGCAGGGCCTCCTGTGGCCACATCACCCTGTAAGGGGCGCCCCGGGGGGCAGAGGCCGCAGACGCCTCGGTGGCCTTGGCCCCCTCCTCCCATACACCCCACCATGTTCTCACCTAGCAAAAAGAGGTGGCGTCGCCTTACTGCAGCGGCAACGGAGACTTCATGTGCGGACACTGTGTGTGCTACGAGGGCTGGTGAGTGGGGTCGCGCAGGATGCGAGCGGGCCCGACCCTGGGGGCACCGCGCGGGCCTGGCTGGGAGGGGGCACACCCAGCGGCTACGTGGGTCCAGTTCAGAGCACTTTGAAATGCATGGGTGTATCAGGAAAGACATGCAAGAATCAGGACAGTGGTGGCCGTCAGGACAGGGGGCTGGGTACTGGAGGACGGGCACGGGCGGAAGATGGACTTTTCACTCCGTGCCTTCTGTGCCATTAGTATCCTGAGCCATGTGCACACAGGACTTGATCAGAAATGAGCTCATAAATGAAGGGCAGTAGGTCTTTTACGGGTTCAAATCATTGAACAGGTCTTTGATGAGGAAGGGACCTGGTGGGGGGTGGTCTCAGGGGACTGAGGTTTGAGTCGGTGCAGCCACGGCTGTCAGGGCGACGTGGACCCGCCCGGCCCTCTCTAGGGCCCTGGCTCGCACCTGTACGAGGGGACAGCAGAGGCCCGGCTGTGGCCCAGGCCGCGGGGAACAGACCGGCTCCTCCCCCAGGAGCGGCAGTACCTGCAGCTGCTCCACAGGCTCCCTGAGCGACACGCAGCCCTGCCTGCGGGAGGGAGAGAACAAGACGTGCTCCGGGCACGGCGAGTGCCAGTGCGGCCGCTGCGTGTGCTATGGGGACGGCCGCTACGAGGGCCACTTCTGCGAGTTTGACAACTTCCAGTGTCCACGCACCTCCGGGGTCCTCTGCAACGGTGAGCTCAATAGCCGCGGTGGCCAGAGCTGGTGGCCTGGGGGCCCAGCCCCTGCCCTGCCTACTGGCTGGTCTTCAATCCAGACCCCGGCTGGGAGTCAGAACCCCGAGTCCTGGCCCAGGCCCCCTCCAGTCTCCCTGAGCGCCTCCCAACCTGGACCACTGTCCCCTCCGCAAGCTTGACACCCAGGGCCAGTGCGACGTTCCCCTTGTGGTTAAGACCCCGACCCCGCTGCGGTCCTGCGGCCCTGCAGTCTGTGCCTCCCTTGCTTCTCTACTCTCTCACCTCATTATGATGGGGACCACCCAGCCCTACCTGCGATATCCTGAGCCGAGTACATGCAGTACTTGATCGCACGGTACACGGCATGGCGACCTTTCCTCTCTCAGAAGGTGCCACATGGCCAGCAGGCACGGCCTGGAGCTCTGCCTCCCATAGAGCCACACAGGGCCTACCACGGTGTGGCCAAGGTCACGGGCACATAGTCCGGCCAAACCTTCGGAGCTGGTTGGGTCCCAGAATCCAGGCAGGTGCCCCATGGAAGGACTAAATGGGTGAATGAAGGGGGATGAGTGAAAATCCAACTCACCAAATACTTATTAAGCCCAAATGTATGCTTGCCACTGGGGGGTCAAACCCCTGCTTTTCTACCCTTTTGTCTGCTGTTCTTGCTCTGCCCATCCCAGCGTGCGCTCAGAGAAATGAAAGGGGAGCCCAGGGCGCCTGGCAAAGGCAGGGCTGGGAGATGGGCGGGTGGGGGCGGGGGACGCTGCTGGGGAAGGAGGCGAGGCCGGAGCGCAAGGGGCTTGGCTTCCGGTCCAAGGCACGTCCAGGTCTGGTCTAGTCCAAATGTTTCCTTAAACACCCAGGAAATAAATGTTCTTCCGCTTCGGGAGCCGTATGGTCTCTGTCCCAGCTAAGCTCTGCCACTGCAGCAGAGAGCAGCGACGGGGAGCATGTCAAATGAGGGCAGCGGCGTTCCGGGAAAACTTTTGCCAAAACAGCTATTGAGGCGGATTGACCTGCAGGCCGTAGTCAATCAGTCCTTATTCTAGTCTAAGGATATTGGACTTTGTCCTTTGGGCAAGAGAGAGTCATTTGAGGTTTTGATTTCATTTTATGGCTATCTGTACATTAACCTCGTATCCAGATACCTTGCTAAAGTCACTTATGAAATCTAATAATTTATCTATACATACTTCCTCATATTTTATGACATGTTCCTGATACTTGCAAGTAATGACAGTTTTATGTCCTACTTTCCAGTACTGTATTTTTTTTTTCTTTTTCTTACCTCGTTGCATTGGCCAAGACTCATAGATGGTCTTTTTGGTCTTTTTTTCTAAGATTTTGTTTATTTGTTTTAGAGAGAGAGGAAGGGAGAAAGAGAGGGAAAGAAACATCAATATATGGCTACCTCTTGCACGCCCCCTACTGGGGACCTGGCCTGCAACCCAGGCATGTGCCCTGACTAGGAATCGAACCTGCAACCTTGTGGTTCGCAGGCCGGCACTCAATCTACTGAGCCACGCCAGCCAGCGCTCATTAGAGGTTCTTAAGCAGGGGAGCCACACAATTGGGCTTGTGTTTTGGGACGGTCGCTCTAGCTGCAGAGTGGAAAGTGGGAGGTGGGATGAGGAGGTGGACGGAGGAAAGGAGATTCCAGGAAAGCGAGGAAGGGAGGCACTAGCCCTGGCTGCAGACGTCCTCGCCCTCAAGGCTTGGCTCCCACAGGCCTTGCCCCCCGCGCCCCACAGTGCGGCAGCCGGGACTGCAGGTGGGAATGGGCTCTCCTCTCCCTCCCCTCCCTCTGCAGACCGGGGGCGCTGCTCCATGGGCCAGTGTGTGTGTGAGCCTGGCTGGACGGGCCCGGGCTGCGACTGTCCTCTCAGCAATGCCACCTGCATCGACAGCAATGGGGTAGGCCTGGGCACGAGGCAGGCAGAGGGGGCCCGGCGGGGACCACCCACCCTCTCAGGCAGGGATGGGGGTGCAGCTGGCTCACTGGCGCCCCCTCTCACCTCAGGGCATCTGTAACGGGCGCGGCCACTGCGAGTGCGGCCGCTGCCACTGCAACCAGCAGTCCGTCTACACAGACAGCATCTGCGAGATCAACTACTCGGCGGTGAGGCCAGGGTCTCTGGGTGCGGGCGTGGGGACCCCGGGCACAGGGCAGGCTGGACAGGAGGGGCCAAGCCTGGTGCCACAGGAGCGGCACAAAGGTGTGAGGTCGCGGGAGGGGGCCCACCCAACACACTGCCCTCGGCCCCTCCTCCCCACCAGGTCCGGCTGGGGCTCTGCGAGGACCTGCGGTCCTGCGTGCAGTGCCAGGCCTGGGGCACCGGCGAGAAGAAGGGGCGCATGTGCGAGGATTGCCGCTTCAAGGTCAAGATGGTGGACGAGCTTAAGAAAGGTACGAGGCAGGGGCCGAGGATCGGGGGCGCTGAGAGCCCAGGCAAGGGGACGCTCAGGGGGGTCGGAGGTGTCCCCTATCTGGGCGGGGCGCTAGGCCTGGACAGGGGGCTCGTGTCTGAATTGAAGCTACACAGACAGGGGTGGCAGGCCTGGGAGGGGCCCACAGACCCGGGTTGAGGGCGCAGCTGATTGGGGCCCACAGAGCCTGGGAGGCCGTGGGGCAAGTGGCCGGGCGGGGCCTGAGCACAGCAGGGGGCCACAGCAGGCCAGGCGGCACTCAGCCTCTTCACCTGTGGGTCAGACACATTTTCTGGACGCCCAGCTCCCCGGCGATGCTCGGGGTGGGGAGGGGGGGACACCGATTTGCAGACTCTGGTGTTCCTGGTCAGGGCAGGGCCCGGTCTCCCTGCAGGAGGACTTGCGCCCTGCCCTGGGTGGGCGGGGCGGGCCCTGGGCCCCTGGGGCAGGGCGCCCTGCTGACTGTCTGGGGGTGCAGCGGAGGAGGTGGTGGAGTACTGCTCCTTCCGGGACGAGGATGACGACTGCAACTACAGCTACACCGTGGAGGGTGATGGCAGCCCCGGGCCCAACAGCACCGTCCTGGTGCACAAGAAGAAGGGTGAGCCAGCAGCCGGCGGCCCGAGGGGGGTGGCCCATCAGGCCCAGGCGGGAGGGAGCACACTCTCCTCCTCCTCCTCTTCCTCTCTCCCCAGACTGCCCTCCCAGATCCTTCTGGTGGCTCATCCCCCTGCTCATCTTCCTTCTCCTGCTCCTGGCACTGCTGCTGCTGCTCTGCTGGAAGTACTGTGCCTGCTGCAAGGTAACAGCCCCCCCCGGGGTCCCCACAGGGGCCCCCATCCCTCCAGGGCCCTCGCAGGTAGCAGAGGCTGGGCGAACCGACGCATTCCGCGCAGCTCTAGTGCCCTCCGCACCCCAGCCCCTCGCCTCTGCCGCCTCGGCAGCTGGGCTCCTGGGAGCGCCTGCCCTGGGGGCCGCCACGTGTGACAGCCTGGGAGCCCACAGGGAAGGAAGGGCCCTGCTCCCCAGGAGCTGCCAGTCTCGTAGGGGAGGACAGGCAGGAGATAGCCAAGCACGGAGGACGGCACAGCACGGGAGGCTGAGTCGTAGGCGTGGAGGCAGCACTGCAGCGGCCTCCGGTGCTGTGGGGTGTTAGTGTGTGTCACGGCGCAAGAGCCCTGTGGCCAGACACAGTCAGCCTCTCAGGACTTCTCAGAGCCTTTGGCCTACTTGTAAGCGCAGTGACTCTATAAGTTGGGGTGGGGCATGACCTCAGGGCTTCCCAAAGGGGGTTGATCATAGAACCTTTACAGGGGACCTTGCAAGACCAGGGTCGCGTGGCACAAACTTTGGGAACCCTCTGCCCCGTCACCCTCCGTGCCGCCCTGCGCGCCCCCCATCTAGGTCCCTGCAACTGCGTGGGTACCCTGGTATCTGGTTGGGGGTAGGCACAGTGGCCCCTCGGAACCATTGCTGTGGGGAGGGGTGGCTGGAGGGTTTTGCCTGGGCTGGGCAGCTGTCCCGGCCCTCATCCCCACCCCTGTCCCCTAGGCCTGCCTGGCGCTTCTCCCGTGCTGCAACCGAGGTAGGAGTGGGCCCGGCATCGGCGGGGGCGGGGGGCTCTGGCCACTGTGTGCCCGGCTGGGGCGGAGGGGGGGCGGAGCCAGGGCCGAGGAGGGGGGCCCTGGGTCCCACCTCAAGGGCCGTGGCTGTGAGCACCTGCGGAGGGGCCTCATGTTGCAAACCCTGTCCCGAGGTCACATGGTGGGCTTCAAGGAAGACCACTACATGCTGCGCGAGAACCTGATGGCCTCGGACCACCTGGACACGCCCATGCTGCGCAGCGGGAACTTCAAGGGGATTGACAGGGTGCGCTGGAAGGTCACCAACAACGTGCAGCGGCCTGGCTTTGCCACCCACACCGCCAGCACCAACCCCACGGAGCTGGGTGAGGGCCGGGGCTGGGTGCTGCAGTCCCGGCGGCGCCCCGGACGCGTCCCCTGCTGCTGCCGGGTCTGGGATCCCGTCGTTTCTGTTTTCTCCGGGTGCTGGGTGCAGGCACAGGCCTGGCGACTCTCTCCCCTTCGCAATGGAGCCACGGGCCTCAGGCCCCAGCCAGCTGGGGGCCCCTTCCTAGCGTGGGCCCTGAAGGGGGCATCTGTGGGGCCCGCCACGCAGGAGGCTAAAGACCCCCATCCCTGCCTGCCCCTAGTGCCCTACGGTCTGTCCCTGCGCCTCGCCCGCCTTTGCACCGAGAACCTGCTGAAGCCAGAAACTCGGGAGTGTGACCAGCTGCGTCAGGAGGTGGAGGAGAACGTAAGGCGGTCCACCTCCCCAGGCGTGGGCGTGGGCCAGGGGGCGGGAGAGCCGCGGGGCACAGCCGTGGAACCTGGAGTTCTCCGGGTAGGGATGAAGGACTTCCTTGGATGTGTTCCTGGTGTGGGCTCACCATGGGATCCCCTTGAATGTTCCTTGAGGGCACGAGGCCAGCCCTGGGAGGTCCCCTGGGCCTGAGAGGCTCTGTGTAGAGAGGCCTGCCCAGGGCCCCAGCCTCACGGCCCTCCCTTGCCTGGCAGCTGAACGAGGTGTACAGACAGATCCCCGGCTCACACAAGCTCCAGCAGACGAAGTTCCGGTGGGTCCTCGGAGCCCAGGGTTGGCGGCGGGGGTGGAGGGAGCTGCCCCAGGGGCCTTGTGGCTCACGGTCCCCGCTTTGTCTCCCACAGGCAGCAGCCCAACGCCGGGAAGAAGTGAGTTGAAGACATGGCGGGACAGCCCCAACCGCAGCTGCCTGCCCTGTCCACCCCACCCCGGCCCTGTTCCCACCCCGTAGGAAGGGAAGGCCGTCCCTGTTGGTCATGGGTTAGGACCTTCATTCAGGAAACACTGATGGGAAGCCCTCACGATGAGCCAGCCTCGTGCAAATGGGCAGGCCACAGGGAACCAAAGGGACCACCCAGGACCAGGGTGGCCCCGTGCCAGCCAAGGCTAAGAGAGGCCAAGTCACTTGCCCAAGGTTACCTGGCTATTAAGAAATGGGGCCAGGATTTGAGCCCAGGCTTCAGCGCCTACACCCTGAGCATCTCCGCTGCCCTGCATCTCCTGGGTGGGAATAGCCCCGTGTCACAGACGAGGCCGCTGAGGCCAGAGGCCCCGCGGCTTGGCTGAGACTGCAGGGTGAGCTGGTGGGGCCAGCTTGAGCTTCTGTGACTGTCCAGTCCTGAAGAACATGCACCCTTTTTGCTGCCCCATATCTTGTCCCTTGATGGGGAGAGGACAGGCAGGAGGCGTGCACAGGGACAAGAGCCAGCCTGACGCCTTCCCACCTGCCCCTCCTGCAGGCAGGACCACACCATCGTGGACACGGTGCTGATGGCGCCCCGCTCAGCCAAGCAGTCCCTGCTGAAGCTGACGGAGAAGCACGTGGCCCAGGGGGCCTTCCATGAGCTCAAGGTGGCCCCCGGTTACTACACCCTCACTGCGGACCAGGGTACGGGCAGGCGGGCTCCCCCAGCAGCTCGCTCTCGCCGCCCAGCCCGGTGTGGCTGCTGCCCCACGTCTGACCGTACCCACCCCCCTGCCCCCAGATGCCCGGGGCATGGTGGAGTTCCAGGAGGGCGTGGAGCTTGTGGACGTCCGGGTGCCCCTCTTCATCCGGCCCGAGGACGACGAGCAGAAGCAGCTGATGCTGGAGGCCATCAACGTGCCCGTGGGCACTGCCACCCTCGGCCGTCGCCTGGTAAACATCACCATCATCAAGGAGCAAGGTCGGTCAGGGAGTGGGGAGCCTGGGGCAGAAAGGGGGCCTGTGGCCCCGTGCATGTGAGTGGAAGGGAGGCCTGGCTGTGTGGCCCAGCAGGTCACTGAACCTCTGTGAGCCTTGGTTTCACCGTCTGCAAAATGGGCTGCAGGCTCTTGCGGGGCGTGTGTCTGGACAGCTTGGCGTGGAGCTTGCGTCACAGTCGCAGGGTGCTGGGTCCTCCTGGTGCCAACCCGCATCCCTCCCCTGTTCTCTCCCTTATGGCCTTTGCCTGAGGGAGGTGAACGGGCCTCCCCAGGCTGCCAGGACCCCGGAGCAGGGAGGGACGGGGCTTTGTTCTGCCCAAGCCGCCCTGGGGCTGGGCCAGGCTTTGCCCCACCGACAGCCAAGCCGCCTTCCCCGCTGCTCCGCAGACTCAGGGCCTCGTCCGGGGTTGTGCCCCCACCTGGCCTCCTTTCTCAGCCCTGCCCCGTCCAGGGTGTCTGTTGGACGCTGTCCCAGCCCCCTCAACTGTTTCTGGAAAAATTTTCTATCCCCTTCCTCTGTCCTCCCCAGAGAGTGGTGGGGTTGGGGGTGACAGGCAGATCCGGGGTCTGGACTTGGCTGGGCCGGAGGGAGGGCGGGAGTTGAGAAGGAATGGAGGCGAGGACCCTCTGATTGTCCTGGGCCCCTTGCAGCCACCGGGACAGTGTCCTTTGAGCAGTCTGAGTACTTGGTCAGTGGTGGGGAGCCAGTGGCCCGCATTCCCGTCGTCCGGCGCATCCTGGACAACGGCAAGTCCCAGGTCACCTACCGCACACAGGACAACACGGCGCAGGGCAACCGGGTAAGGCTCCGATGCGGCGTTGAGGGCACATCCCAGGGGCCAGGTGGGAGCAGGACACAGCAGCTGCCTGGGTCCCTGGGTGCTGGGCGTGGCCCTGGCTGGCCTCCCAAGGACATGCCCACCCGCTCCTGCAACCTTGCAGCTGGGGCATCTTACTCACCGAAAGTGCCGGTGGCGCTCTGCCAGAGACGGAAGCCAGGGGCGTGTCCAGACCATTCATGTCCCCTTTCCAACAAACCCTTCGTAGAGAAATAGACTCCCCGTCTGCCCCAGGCCAGGGGCTTTGGGCTTCTGGAAGTGAGGGCACAGCCCTCCCGTCCCTGGGCAGACCTCCCAAGCGCTGTCACTGCCCAGCAGGCCCTTCCGAGACCAAGCCTCAAGAGCAGCCCTTCAGGGCAGTCTGTGACACGTGTGGTTCGCGTCCCCTTGATCCCTGGGCCCTTGTGTCAGGGAGTAGCCAAATCCAGGTGGGAGACGTGCTTGGTTGGCTTACAGATTTGTTTTTCTGAGTTAATTACCAACATTTAAAAACTAAAAATATTTCAATCAAAAATCAAGTCAAAAAGCAGTAAAATCCAGTTTTACCGGGCCCATAGGCCCATTCAGCAAAGGCAGGGGCCAGCAGCCAGCCACCCCCGAATCTTCTTTTCATTGGTGGGAACAGTTTTTATTACGGATTCAATGCTCCTGTTGGAAATTCCAAAGAAAAATTTGTATGTCCAGAAATTCACTGAATAGGCTGTAATATACAACAGATTCTGGCTATCCTGTTACACTTTTGTAAAAAAAAGCTTTGGTATTTAACAACTTTTTAAAAGCATTTGTATTATTTCCTAACTTTTTATTTTGAAAAACATCAAACCTACTGAAAAATGGAAAAACTAATAAAATTAGCACATATCTACTCTTTACATAGGTCCACCAGTTGTTAACATTTCTCTGTAGATCTAGGTACACGTGAATGATACAGGTACAGATATGTCTGTAGTTCTGTATCCCTATATCTACGGCTGCAGAGAGACAGGAAGAGAAAGTTGTCCGCTTAGTTCTATTTGTTGAATTCTTCAAAGCTGCAGACTCCACGTAGACCCTACACGCTTCCGCAGGCACCTGCTAAGAACAAGGTCATTCTGCAGAACTACAACGTAATGACCGAACTTAAGCAACTCCGCCTTATACTAGTGCCCGATGATTAGCCTGTATTCAGCCCTCCCTGTGTTCACCTGTTCCCGTTTGTCCTTGGTTGCTTTTTCCCCGGTCCAGGAACCAATGGTCTGGCATTGCGGTTTGCTGCCATGTGACTTTAGGCTCCTTTAAGCTAGAGCAATTCCCCAGCTTCGCCTTTCGCGATCTTGACATTTTTGAAGTCCTGCTTCCCCCAGCCCACGTCAATTGTCTTGCAGGTGACTCCTGCTTTTTTTACACTTGCGGTATCAATTTCTGGGTTTTCTAGCATTTGAATTTACCTGGTGCGCACAGTGGGCCCGACTAGCTGTGCTTGGAACTGAAATATTGGTTTGGGGCGCCACCTAGTGGTCTCATGTGAGGGTTACAGCCCCCCATTTCAGCTGATTGTGTACCTGTGAGACACACATGAAAACCCTGGGGTATTGAAGGTAGAGAGTCGGGACTGATGCAAGCACCCCACTTACGAGGAAGGACCTGGGGGCTGGCAGGATCCTAGATCTCAGAGCCACAGTGCTGAGGACCTGAAAACCCCAGCTCTCCCAGGGCGAGAGCCTGCCTCTGTGGGCCTCTCCAGGTCTGCCACGCACCTCCGTCTGCCTGTCTGGCTCCACCACAACTACCTGTGCGAACTGGGGCGTGCCTCTGTGCCTCTGGGAGCTTCTGCTCCTCATCTGTAAAACGGGACAATACTCTCTCCTGGACGCTGCTGCGTTTGTATTGTTTGTAAAGGGACGCTGAGGAGGTGCCATATACACCTGAGCCGTTTTGTGTCCGTGTGGGATAGTCCATCTGCGATGGTCTTCAGAATCTGTGAGGGCAGGGTGGCACGCGAGGCCCGGTCTGACCCCTCCCCTCTCCCAGGACTACGTCCCCACGGAGGGCGAGCTGCTGTTCCAGCCGGGGGAGACCTGGAAGGAGCTGCAGGTGAAGCTCCTGGAGCTGCAGGAGATGGACGCGCTCCTGCGGGGCCGCCAGGTCCGCCGCTTCCACGTCCAACTCAGCAACCCCAAGTTCGGGGCCCGCCTGGGCCAGCCCCACACAGCCACTGTCATCATCGGGGACCGAGGTGGGCACAGCCTGGGCCCAGCTGAAGCAGGAGCGGGGGGCGGGACGGGGGGACACCTGGGGCCTCTCCACAAAAGCTGCCAGTCCCGGCGAGTAAAAATACAGGACCGCCCGTGGACCCCCGTTAAAGGCCCACGCAGATAAGGTTTGCAGCGCAAGCACGTCGCACGCAGTATCTGGGATGTTGAGTTGACATTCCGATTCATCCAGGCGTCCTGCACTTTATCCGACACCCCTACTCTCACCCACAAAGGCTGGGGTCGTGTGGCCACCGGCCTGCTGTGAGCGCCGAGGATCTCACCCTTGGCCGGCTGAGCTCTTTGACTTCTGCCTTGGTTTCAGTTAAAATGCAGCTATTCCCAGTAGGGGAGGGGTGAAACGGTCAGTTCTGATGGGTCCTTAGCCTCCAGTCTGTGTGCGCACCCCCGGAGGAGGCTTGTGGGGAAAATGGGAGAGGAGGGGGGACTGCTGGGAGGAGGGCCGGGGTGGGGAGAGGAGGAGCAGATGTCCTCATGTGGAGCATTCCCTTAGCTGCTAAGGGAAAACACGGGGCAGACGACCTCCCTCCTCCTCCTCATTCCCCCCAGACCCTCCTGGGTTCCCCCCGGTGCTTGGCAGCCCGCCCCCTGCAGCACCGGAGCGGGGGGGCGGGGGTTGGGGGGGTGGGGGGAAGGCCGCTCGCAGAGACTGGGCCGGGCACGTGCCGGTTGACTGTAGCTGGCTGTTTCACTGGGCCTCCTGCGCCCCCTGGTGGCGAGAGCGGGTTCCGCCCTCCGCCCACCCCTACCCCAAAGACGGGCTCTCTGAGCTGGCTGCCGGGCCCTGTGTTCACCCGCTGCAGATGACCTGGAGCAGAACTTCAAGGGCCAGACCCTGTCAAGACTCCCAGGCCCTCACAGTGACCTGGGTGCCCCACAGAACCCCAATGCCAAAGCTGCTGGGTCCCGGAAGATCCACTTCAACTGGCTGCCGCCTTCTGGCACACCAACAGGGTACAGGGTAAGATGCGGGCTGGAGGGAGATGCTGAGGCCTGGCAACCACTGAGGAGGTGGCTTCCGATGGCCAGAGGACCATGAGGGAGAGCAGAGGGCGCGCTTGGCCCCTTGGAGGAGCCTGAGGGGAAGCAGGGGGATACCTGTCTTTGCCCGGGGAGTTTTTCAGACCTTTGGCCTCCCTTCTGGAATGGGGCCCCTCCCCCCACCGGGGAGACACCCGCTCTGCCCCAGCCGTGCGGCGTGGACCTGCCAGGTCACTCAGCCCCTCCTGAGCCCTGGTGTCTCATCTGCGCCGAGGGGACAGTAGGGCAGGAAGTCAGTGGCGGGGCGAGCGGCTCTGGCACTCTCCGTTCCCCACTGACCAGCCCCTCCCCTGGGAGCAGGTGAAGTACTGGATCCAGGGCGACTCGGAGGCCGAGGCCCACCTGCTGGACAGTAAGGTGCCCTCAGTGGAGCTCACCAACTTGTACCCGTACTGCGACTACGAGATGAAAGTGTGCGCCTACGGGGCGCAGGGCGAGGGCCCCTACAGCTCCCTGGTGTCCTGCCGCACCCACCAGGAAGGTGAGGCCTCGCGTGGCCATCCGCCCATCCCGGACACCCCGAGGCCTGCGTGCCCAGCCCTGCCCTCCCTCCGCCACTGACGGCTCTCTTCCTGTCCCCCCCCCCGCCCCCCTAGTGCCCAGTGAGCCGGGACGTCTGGCTTTCAACGTCGTCTCCTCCACTGTGACCCAGCTGAGCTGGGCTGAGCCAGCCGAGACCAACGGCGAGATCACGGCCTATGAGGTCTGCTACGGCCTGGTCAATGAGGATAACCGTAAGGACTGGGCCCCACCTCCTGCCCCCAGGGGTGGCAGCCAAGCAGGGGAAGCCAGCAAAGATCAGGAGGGAGCCACGTTGCCCTGCTCAGTGGACGAGCCCGGACGCCTTGTTGTCTGAGGCCTTGTTAGGCTTGGGGTCAAGTTTAGGTCAGGGTGCGTTCCCAGGCCAGGCCCAGAGGCTTCAGGGCTGGAGGGGATGGAAGGCCTGAGGTTGTACATGTGTGTGGGGGGTGGTCACAGGCAGGGGTGCCTTCCCACACAGGTAACCAGAGTGCCTCATGTTTACACTGTTCTCTTAAGGCCAAAGTAGAGTTGCCAGATTTAGCAAATAAAAACAGAGGACACCCTGAATTTCAGAGTTTCAGGTGATGGTGGGGCCAACTTGAGTCTGGTCCTGACTCTGCCACTTTACTTAGTGATGAGCCCTCTGGCAAGTTGGTGACACTTCTCTAAACCGGTCACGCCTGGTTCTCAGGGCTCCGCTTGCGCACGGCGGGAGTTCGGCAGCTGCTCGCTCGCCGCCTCGCTCCCTGAGCCTCCTGGGTGCCATTCAGGTCCTGCTTGTCAGAGGCAGGGCCGGGTCCAGGCTGGAAGCTGGATGGCCCCTCTGAAGCGCTCTCCCTTCCCCAGGACCCATCGGGCCCATGAAGAAGGTGCTGGTGGACAGCCCCAAGAAGCGGATGCTGCTCATCGAGAACCTGAGGGAGTCGCAGCCGTACCGCTACACGGTGAAGGCGCGCAACGGGGCCGGCTGGGGGCCCGAGCGCGAGGCCATCATCAACCTGGCCACCCAGCCCAAGCGGCCCATGTCCAGTGAGTGGCGGGCGGGGAGGCATGGGGTTAGACGGGGGCACAGGAGGCCAAGGTAGGGGCCCTGGCTCACCCTCTCCCTCCCCCACAGTCCCCATCATCCCTGACATCCCCATTGTGGACGCCCAGAGTGGGGGCGACTACGAAAGCTTCCTCATGTACAGCGATGACGTTCTACGCTCCCCGGCCGGCAGCCAGAGGCCCAGTGTCTCTGATGACACAGGTGAGAAGGCTGGGACCCCTGGGAGTAAGGTGGGGGTCCTGCATCGAAAGGGTGGGGCTTTCACTGGTGTCCAGAAGACAGAGGGTCCAGTGACTACTGGGCATGAAGGTCAAAACGCAAAACGGCCGCCACAGGCCCAGACAAATATCTGCCGAGCCAATACTTTGGCAGGCACAGAGGGGACAAAGCTGGCGTGGCACATGCTCAGTCGCGCGCATGTCTGTGCGTGAGGAAAGAGAGACAGACATGTGCTGGGGGGCAGACACTCACAGGCTCATGCAAGTGTGCACAAGCTCATGCCCGTGGCGCTGAGTGGAGACGCAGCTTTGCTACCGAAAGGCTCACGAGCTGTGTCACGGAGGCAGGACGCTCAGGGCGGGCTAAGTGGGAGAAGGAGGACACGGCCCAGGCCCCAGGGCAGCGCCTCGCCCTGTCCCCCTCCTGCCTCCGGGACGCCCTGCCCGCAGTGGCGCAGAGCCCTCGGCTGGCGCTCCCCGCTACTCAGCTCTGGCCTCTGGCTCCACTGTGGGACTTCAGATGAGTCCCTTACCCTCCCCGGGCCTCAGTTTTCTGATCTGTAAAGTGAGACGCCAGTCGCATGACGCCAGGGGGGGAAAACCTCCGGGATCTCTCTACTTCCACCCGGGCCTGTGCCTCGGGCCCCAGTGAGCACAGCCTGGCCTGTCGGGGCTGAGCTCGGGCTTGAGGAGCCTGAGCCTGAGGGCCCTGAGAGGTCTCATGGTCTGGGGTAAGGAGAGGCTGGTATGACTCAGGTGGCCCAGCTCAGCTGCTACGGACCTTGCCTGTGAACATGTCCCTGGGAGGCTGGCCAGGGGCAGATCGCTGCCTCCACTGATACAGAAAACTGAGGCCCGGAGCAGGGAGCCCTCTCAGCTGGCGACAAAGCCAGGGCTACCCTGGCCTCCGTGCTGGTCCAAGGGCTGTTCCTCACCAGCTGCCACCCGGGCTGCACTGATCGCTTGGAGGGCTCTTCCGCGCTCGGGCCACGGTCCCGCCTGTCGCCCGACTCCGGGTCCCAGCAGCGCACCCCTTCCGCCCCCACCTGGATCCCAAAGAGCCCGAGGACCGCTCACGTCGCGGCGCCGCCGCCCCCCGCGCCGCCGGGCTCACCCCGCAGCCTCCCGCGCCCACCGGCGGTGCCAACGCGCCCTTCGTTGTTCCCAAGGCGGCGGCTGGAAGTTCGAGCCCCTACTCGGGGAGGAGCTGGACCTGCGGCGCGTCACGTGGCGGCTGCCCCCGGAGCTCATCCCGCGCCTGTCGGCCAGCAGCGGGCGCTCCTCCGACGCCGCCGAGCCGCCCCGCGGGCCCCCGGAGGACGGCGCCGAAGGGGGCGCGGGGGCAGCAGTGGGGGAGGGCGGCGGCTTGGCCCGCGGCGCCACGCCAGGGCCCCCCGGAGGTGACCGGCCCTGCTGGGCGTGCCCCGACCCCGCACCCATCTAGGCTCACCGGTTTGCTGCCTCAGGGACCCAGCCTGAGCTCGCTGTGGCCGGGCTGCGCAGTCAGGCCCCTGCCCTCCCAGGGGCTGAACACTGGCATGGAGGCAGATCCTCAGAGCCAAAGGACCCCCAGGGCAGGCGCTTGGGCTGTCCCCCAAGCGGGGCTGACCTTGCGTAGTGGCATCCCGCCTGGCCGGAGGATGCGGGTTGCAGAAGCCTCTGTGGCCCCTGGCACTCCTCCAGGGACCTGGGCCTCTGTCCCTCGTAGGCCAAGGGGGCCGGTTGTATTTATGCCAAGGCCTCTGGAGGGTAGGTAACCCCGGAATTCCCAGGGCCCCAAGGTCTGGTGCTGGCCTGTCCCAGTGACCCTGTTCTCCCCCGCAGATCACCTGGTGAACGGGCGGATGGACTTTGCCTTCCCGGGCAGTGCCAACTCCCTGCACAGGATGACCATGGCCAACGCCGCCTACGGCACCCACCTGAGCCCGCAGCTGTCGCATCGGATGCTGAGCACGTCCTCCACCCTCACGAGAGACTACCACTCGCTGACCCGCACGGAGCACTCTGGCACTGGCACGCTGCCCAGAGACTACTCCACCCTGACCTCCCTCTCCTCGCACAGTGAGCGCCCGCCCCGCCCTGCATCTCCTGCCGGCCCCCCTCTCTTGCAGCTGCTGGGGCCCGGGCTGCTGCCCACCCCCCCACACACACATCCTCCAGCACACCCACACACCTCCCGCCCCCTCACGCCTGTTTTGTCCCACCCTAGGCCTCCCTCCCATCTGGGAAGACGGGAGGAGCAGGCTTCCGCTGTCCTGGACCTTGGGGTCCTGGAGTCGGGCTCAGAGGAAGGGGGCGCCCCCCTCCAGGGACTCGCCAGACTCTATAATCCTGGCCGGGCAGCCAGCAGCGCCCTCCTGGGGCCCAGGTAGTACAGGGCGGCCATCCAGTGTCTCAGCTGTCCTGCTCCATCTGTCATCCACGGCCACTGCAGTCACCACCCATGACCACCACCTCCCCTCCATTCCATCCACATCAGCGCTGGTGCCGGCTAACACGCTCTGCTTTCCCGGGGTGCTGGGCGGGGGCGGGGGGCCGCGCCAGCTACGGCCTGGGTCCCTGGCCGACTCCCAGTGCCTGCCCTCTCCCGGCACAGGCAGGGCCCATGCCCACTCTGAGGCCTTGTGGGAGGTGCTGGGTGGCCTGGACAGGGTGTCGCAGGGGGAGCGAGCCGCCCCGCCAGCCATCAGCACAGAGGCCGCCGCTGCGGGAGGTCAGCGGCCGAACTAGGGCTCCGGCCCTGGGACCCCCGACCCGGGCCGACTGTGGCCTCCTGTCTCCAGGCTCCCGCTTGGCTGCCGGTGTGCCCAACACGCCCACTCGCCTGGTGTTCTCAGCCCTGGGGCCCACGTCTCTGAAAGTGAGCTGGCAGGAGCCGCAGTGTGAGCAGGCGCTGCAGGGCTACAGCGTGGAGTACCAGCTGCTGAACGGCGGTGAGACATGGCTGCGGGCGAGCTGTGGGGACACGGCCCCCCGCTGCGACCCCCGGGGACACCTGGCTGTGGCAGGAACCCCTAGAGCACGCAAGGCCCCCAGCCCGCCGTCCTGAGAGGGCCTCACTGCAATGCCACCGCCCGGCATTGCCTCCTGCCTCGCAGTCCTCATCCACCCCCAGGGACACTCTGCTACTCCCCGTGCAAGGTTTTGCCTAACGAGGCCTCGTCAGCCTTGAGACCCAGGGCCTCTGCTGGCCTGGGAGATGCCTTTGCAGGAACTGAAAGCGGCACTTCCCTGGGCAGACACACTCACAGCAGCGTGACCCGGGCCCATCAACAGCCAGAGGGTCGGTGGGATGTCAGACCCCACTTGTCCGGTGTGCAGCGCGCAGCCGGGACGGCCGTACCACATGGGGCGGACCTCCGACCACGGCTCGCCTGGGTGGGCGATGCCCAGGTCTTTGGCGGAAGCCTAGGGAAGGACCGGCCCAGGGAAGGAATAAAGCAGCTCCCATGCCCCCACCCCTCCAGGCGAGCTGCATCGGCTCAACATCCCCAACCCCACCCAGACGTCCGTGGTGGTGGAAGACCTTCTGCCCAACCACTCCTACGTGTTCCGCGTGAGGGCCCAGAGCCAGGACGGCTGGGGCCCGGAGCGCGAGGGCGTCATCACCATCGAGTCCCAGGTGCACCCTCAGAGCCCACTCTGCCCCCTGCCAGGTGAGTCGCCTCCCCCGCCCCCTGGCTGCCCCGCCTCCCACCCCCCCACCTGCTTACCCTCTCCCTCTGCCGCCCCCAGGCTCCGCCTTCACTCTGAGCACGCCCAGCGCCCCAGGCCCGCTGGTGTTCACCGCCCTGAGCCCAGATTCCCTGCAGCTGAGCTGGGAGCGGCCCCGCAGGCCTGATGGCGACATCCTGGGCTACCTGGTGACCTGCGAGATGGCCCACGGAGGAGGTGCTGCCCGCCCCAGGGTTGGGCGGCCACAGGAAGGGTGGCGAGGGAGCCACCGAGGCTAAAGGCGTCTTCCCTGCGCAGAGCCAGCCACCACGTTCCTGGTGGACGGCGACAGCCCCGAGAGCAGGCTGACGGTACCCGGCCTCAGCGAGAACGTGCCCTACAAGTTCAAGGTGCAGGCCAAGACCACCCAAGGCTTTGGGCCAGAGCGCGAGGGGATCATCACCATCGAGTCCCAGGATGGAGGTAGGGCACCCATCCCTGTCATCGCCCTTTCTCTGGCCATACCTTCTTGCCCCGCCACCTGAGTGGCTCTTCCGCCCTCCCCAGGCCCCTTCCCACAGCTGGGAGGCCACGCCGGGCTCTACCAGCACCCACTGGCCGGCGAGTACAGCAGCATCACCCACACCAGCACCACCGAGCCCTTTCTCCTGGGTGAGCTGCCGGGTGGGGGCTCCTGGATCCCCTGAGGGGGTGGGGGGGGCGCAGCACTAACCGGGGAAGAGGGCAAGGACCTAGACAGGGTCCTTGAACACCTCTTGCCCCATAGATGGACTAGTCCTGGGGCCCCAGCGCCTGGAAGCAAGTGGCTCCCTCACCCGGCACGTGACCCAGGAGTTTGTGAGCCGCACGCTGACCACCAGTGGGACCCTCAGCACCCAGGTGGACCAACAGTTCTTCCAGACCTGAGCTCCCACCCCCACCTGGCTGTTCTAGAACCCGGGCCCCCGCTGCCCTCTCCCCTCACCTCAGCTACACCGTTCTTGGACCCCTGGCGGCCCCACCCACCTGCATGTTGATCGCCGGCCCGTGCCTCTGGGGGTAGATGTCCTCTGGGAAGCAGGAAGGGGACCTTTCGGCTGCCCCCACCCACCCCACCCAAGCACGTTTGTAACCAAAGAGCTGGGACCAGCATGACAAGGACCCAGCTTTGTTCTGCACTTAATACAAGATTTTGCTACCGCTTGGCTCTGACTGTCCGTTCTTCCAGGGCCTGCCCGGGGCAGGGGAGCGGTTCTGGCACCCACCCTTCTTTCAGGGCCAAGCGAGGCAGGTGGGCACTGTGGTCTGAGGCGCACGTTTATTGAGCACCCGGGTGGGGAGGGCAGACGCCAGACACACAGAGCCTCCTGGCTTGCTGCCCGGGGGCCCCGCGCCCGCCGTGGGCCATCGCAGGGGGCGCCTCAAGAGTGCAGCACCTTGGCACCATCCGCCGCCTGGGAGAGGTAGAAGGTGGCGGTACCGCTGTACTGCGCCTGTGGGAGAAGCAGGTGGGGTCTGAGCTCCGCGGGGCCCTGGGAACCTGCTTCTCCCCGCCACCCCTCAAGCTATGGCGCCCACCCACCTGTATGTGCTGCATGGCTTGGGAAGCGGCGGAGGCCTCCAGCAAAGTCACCGTGCAGCCACCAAAGCCGCCGCCTGTCATGCGGCTGCCGTAAACCCCAGGGGCAGACAGCGCAGCCTGCACCAGCTGGTCCAGCTCAGGGCAGCTCACCTCGTAGTCATCCCTGCAGACAGCAGATGGGAGGGGCGGGCCTGGGACCAGCCCCGGCCAGCCCCGGGGACAGCCTGTGCCCGGGGGCCGGGGCCCGGGAGCCTCACCTGAGGGAGAGGTGGCTCTCCACCATGAGGCGGCCGAAGGCTCTGTAGTCACCCCGCTGGAGGGCAGCCGCTGCCTGGGCCGTGCGCCTAATCTCCCCCACGACGTGCCGCGCCCGCCGGAAGCCCTCCTTGCTCACCAGCTCTCTGCCAGCTAGAGAGGACAGGGGTCAGCAGGCGCCCCCCCGACCACCTCTGGACCCCTGCAGACGTGTGGGGACAGGGCCCCGTGGCTCCAGGCCGGTGGGGGAGCCTCCGTTGGAGCCCGGCTCTGACAGAGCTGTAGTTACACCCTGGGCCGGTGGCTAAGCTCCCAGCACCTCCCCTCCTTGCATGTATGGGGGACACCGGCCCCATGTGGGGCGCTGTGAGGACAAGGTGCGATGACACATGCAGAGCTCCCAGCATGGTGCCTGGCACAGTGGGAGCTCCATAACCAGCAGTTAAAGTCCCAGACCCTTGGTGCTTCCAAGGTGAGCGGGACACAGGGCTGCCTTCCAGAAGCCACAGTAAGTAGGGCAGGAGGGAGAAGAAACCCTGCCGTGTATGCGGGCACAACCGCGGAGCCCGAGGGTTGGGGAAGAGCCCAGGCTGAGGGCGCACCAGCAACCAGCAGGCGGCCCCACCAGCCAGTGCGGAGGGCGGGGGTGGGCAAGCCGCAGCCCCCAGCACCAGGGCACCTTGCCACTTAATGCCATGTGCCTGGGCCACAGAGGTTTGGGAGCCAGGGAAGGGCGGGCTGAGTCCTAGGAAAAAGTGAATGCCTTGGGCGGGGAGGGCTGAGGCTGGGAGAGGTGGCTGCAGGAGCCCGGCCCAAAGCCCTTAAGCAGAGACCAACGTGGGGGGTGGGCGGGTCTAGTGAGGGAGGAGGAAAGGAGAGAACAAAGATCAGAGACAAGAGTGGGAGGGGGAACAGTGAGGACTCAGAGGTGACTGAGGTTTCAAACAGGAGTGACAAGGGTGAGGAAATAACAGAGCAGGGGAAGTCAGGAGAAGCCTGTGGGCGAGAAAGGATGGTGGGGTCCGCTGTGGGCCGCATAAAGGCTCCAGGGCCTGGGCAGAAACAGGGGGTGGCAGGCTCAGACCTGGGTCCTCAGTGCGGCAGTGGTGGCTGGGGCTGCGTGCTGAGGACAAAGCCTGGGGCAGCCGCCATGCTGAGGAGGGCAGTGCCACCTGCAGGCGCGTGTGGGGAGCCCCAGGAGGGCTGTTGCGGCAGGTGGCACGGGAGAGGGCGGGCAGATTCGGAGGGTTACGAAGGGAGTGGAGATGAGGAAATGGGGATGGTCAGCCTGAGGTGCTCTTCCAAGACTGGCAGGAGAACCCATTTTAGGAGGGAAAAAAGCGGAAGGGGAGGAGCCAGGCACAAGACAGGAAGGAGGGGGTCTAAGAGAGCGGCCGGTGGCCAGGGCAGGACTCCAGGAGGCAGAGGGGAGCACTGCTCCTGCGGTAGAGGTTCCCCCTCTGAGCTGCTGCGGGAGGGCTGGGGGCGGGGCAGGGGGGAGTGTTCAAGTGCAAAAACCTCAGCCGAGGTCGCCTGTGCAGAGCGGGCGGGGCCAGTCTGAACGTGACAGTTCAAGGAGGACAGGGTGGTCCCTTGGGGCTGGCCAGCGCCCCTAAAATGGGCACAGCCACACTGCCAGGGAAGGTGCAACACCAGCAGCATGATCTGGGGGTTAAGAATGTGGAGCTAACGTGCCTGGGTTCAAGTCTCAGCAATGCCACTTACTGAAGTCCTCATCAAAAAAAAAAAGAGAGAGAAAAATAGTATCTGTTAGAGAATTAAATGAGTTAATATTTCTATGACCTTCAAACTGTTAAATAGACTATCTTCTCAGCCATGTGTATCAGGAACCTTAAAAACACACGTATCTTCTTTCTCGATAGCCCTACTCCTAGGAATCTATTCCTAAGAATAAGAGTATGCAGAGGAAGACTTACGGATAAAACCTTCATCAAAGTGTTCGGTGTAATCATCAGAAAGCGGTCAAGTAAATTACCATGACCCTGAACGCTGGAATATTATGTAGCCTTAAAAAGTCATGTTGCCCTGCCTGGTGTGACTTGATGTGGGTCAATGGGTCTGGGAACCAAAAGGTTGCTGGTTCAATTCCTAAGTCAGGGCACAGGCCTGGGTTGTGGGCCACGTCCCTCGTTGGGGGCAACTGATCGATGTTTCTCTCTCTCTCTTTCTCCCTCCTTTCCGCTCTCTTTAGAAATGAATAAATAAAATCTTTAAAAAGAAAATAAAACATATGCCCTGGCTGGTATGGCTCAGTGGACTGAGTGCCAGACTGCGAACCAAAGGGTCGCTGGTTTGATCCCCAGTCAGGGCATTTAAAAAAAAAAAAGCCTTTCATGGCATAGAATAATGTTAAATATTTTTAAAGGGGCAGGTGACAATACTGTATATCACTTCAAAAATACACATGCCGAAAAACTCTGGCGGGAACACGGTGAAATGCTAATGCTGGCCATCTCTAGGGGGTGGCCTTATAGCTTATTATTTTCTTCTTTGTACTTGTCTACACTTCCCATATCAGGAAACACAACATTAAGATTTCAAGCAGCCCCGTTAAGGTGGGAGCGCGAAGTTACCAGCATTGGGGGGCGGGCAGAGCACGGCAGGGGTCCCGCAGACGAGGCCCCGGCAGCTCCCACTGGGCGCCTGCTGCCCCCAGGACAGAGCACCCCCGGCCGAGCTCTCACCCTCCAGCTCCTCCGGCTGCACCTCCCGGAGGCTCTCCTTGCCCAGCGCCCGGGCCACTTCTTCACACTGGCGCCGTCGCAGCGGGTATTCGCTGGAGCCCAGGGAGTGGCGGACGTTGGAGTTGGTGACGAGCACAGCCAGCTTGGGGTCCGACAGTGGCACCAGGCTTGTCTCCAGGGACCTGGGAGAGCGGTGGAGCGGGGAGGTGACACGGCCAAGCGCCTGCTTGCCAAGGCCCGCAGTGAGCACGCTCTGCCCACAAGCTCCACCAAGTGAGAGGGTCCAGGGGAGCCCCTGACCTGCAGTCAATGAGCAGCGCGTGGTCCTTCTGCGCCAGCAGGGAGATGAGCTGGTCCATGATGCCACAGGGCACCCCTGCAAAGCTGTGCTCGGCCCGCTGACACACCTGGGCCCGGGCAACTACTGCCCCCGAGTCTGTGGCACAGGGTGAGATGAGGAGGCTGGGGCCCAGCAGGGGGCACAGGGGGCGGGTGGGTTGAGCAGTTCCAAAGATGCTCCAGGGAGATTCCCCACCCCACTCTGAAGGCCCCAGCAAGAGAAGCTCTGGCCCCACGAGACCTCCGGGAAGGAAGGCCGGGCTGGGAGCTGGGTTCTAGGAGGTACCTGGGCAGAGCTGCTGCAGGAAGGTGTACGTGGCCACTTCCAGGGCTGCCGAGCTGGACAGCCCACCCCCCAGCGGCACGGAGCTGACCACCACTGCACTGAAGCCGGGGAGGGGGGCAGCTGCAGGGGACACAATGGCGATGGTGAGCGCGCTGTCCGGGAGGGCGGGCACAGGCGGCCAACCTGCTGGGCCAAGGGGCCCACGGCCCTCTGTCCTTCCACCCTGAGGTTCCTGGGCCACAGTCCTCCTGGTTCTCCTCGATTAGGGCTCTGGAGGCCAACGGGTTAGGGTCTGAATCCCGGATCCTCCAATGATGTCGTGGGCAACCCAGGGCAAGCTCCGGGCCCTCTCGGGGCGTCTGTTCCTTCATCTGTACACGGGGATGCCCCGCCCTGCCAGCCCACCCCACAGGGGCCTAGGTGAGCGGATGGCTTTTATGGCTGAGAGCTGGTGCTCCCGGTCCCAGCCTAACTTGCCCCATACCTGGGTAGTGCTGAATCACTCCCTTGACATAGTTGGCCCATCGAGGGGTCCCAGGCTCCAGGGCCCGCTGGGCTGTGGGCAAGGGAAACTGCAGCCGCCTGGGCTCATCGGCATCCTCGGAGGTGGTGAGGAGGGAGACGAGGCCATCTGCCCGGGGGCTGCCAACCATCACGGTCACGAGCTCCAAAGCCTGACATGAGAGGAGAGGCGTATGCAGAGCTTCTGCCAGCAAAGGATGCAGGAGGCCCTTCCAACACACAGCGGCTCAGGCACGTGGGGCCTGGGACAGACAGGAGGGTGACCTTTAGGCTCGGCGGGAGAGGAGGTGGGAGAGGAAGAAGGACCGTGCGACTCTCTCAGGGAAGAGCCTGAGGGCTGAGCTGGCCTTGGGGGCTTAGGCCCTGCCCCCTGGGCTCTCAGGGGCGGGAGCAGTGCAGTGCTGGCCTGGACTCTGCCCTGAGCGTGGGCTCCCAGCTGCGGGGCACAGGGGAGAGGGAGCTCAAAAGGAAAACAGAACCAGAGGAGCTCCCTCTGATGCCTTCCAATTTGTGGGGGTGCCTCAGGAGTGCTGTACCCCTCATTCCCAAGCTGCATGGTGAGGTGGAAAAACCCCTGGCTGAGAGCTGGGAGGCCTGAGGGCCGTCGAAGCCCCACCAAGCACCAGCTGTGTAGCTTTGACCAGGTCACTAGCCGCCCTCCCCACCCCCCACAGGGCCTGTTTTCCTCTCTGTACACTTCACAGGCTGGGCCAGGAGGCCTAGGGCTGGTTCCGGCAGGATCTGCACAGCCTAAGGGAGGCCAGAGTCCGAAGCACGTCCTTTCCTGTGCAGCACGGGGCCCCCGCATTTTGAGGTGACTCCCAGGTTGCTGGCAAGGATCAGCAGTCCACAGAGGGCGAGCTGGAGCGAGGAGGCGTCGGCACACCCCCTCCCAGCCTACTTCCTCGCAGGCGCCCGCTTCCTCTCTTCCTACGTGAGACGTGCCTCGTCCCAGGGGCTCTCCCACGTGCGCGACCCCCAAACTCGGCCGGAGTGCAAGTTCGGCGCGGCCGGAGTGCAAGTTCGGCGCGGCCCGCCCAGCAGTTCACGCGGGGACCAGGCGCCTCCCCGCGCACCTCGGGCCTGCCCTTCTGGCGGGGTGGCCGAGCCCCAGAAGAGGTTCGGGTCCCCTCCCAGCCCCTCACCATGGGCAGCACCAGGCCCTGGTTGTAGTCCGTGTGCTCCCCGATGAGGTTGACGCGGCCCGGGGCCGACACCGCCAGCTCGGCCTCGGCCCCGAACTCCTCCCGGAAGGCCCTCCGGGCCTCGGCCAGCAGCTCTCCGACCTGGGGTTGTCTCGAAGCGGCCATGACGCTCACCCTCCAGCGCTCGGCCGGCACGGCCCGGTCGGCGCGGGATGCTCGAGGCGGGGCCGCAGCGAGGGGCGTGTATTGCTGCCCTCGTCGCCCCGCCGGCCCCGCCCCGCCGCCGCCCGCTGAGCCGGTCCGGTTTCCCCGCGGGGGCGGGGGCGGGGCGCCGGCGGGCGCGGGACCGGGGCAAGGACCGCAGGGCGCCCTCTCAAGTCGGTAAAGCCCTGTGTGGTCTCGGCCGGACCGGGACGCCTGAGCTGCACCTCCCTGGCTGTGCCCACAGCCAGAGACAACCAGCTGCCACCCAGCCGACCTGGCGTCCCAAAGGGATCGCTGAAGCCCAAGAGTCCTGCAGCTGAGAGAGGTCGCCAGCCCCTGGTCCTGGGTCTCTAAGAGCGTGACACTCGGTGTAAATAGCGATGGAGCCAAGTTTGGTGGTGACCGAGGAGTCGTTTTCTCCAGGCTCCTTTTCTAGGGCGGACACGCTGTCACATCTCCTAGCTACGAAGGGCCGGAGGAGGGTGGCAATGGACAGCCGCGGGCCCAGCCCCTGCTGGAAGGACGTGCCACGGCCGCTCAGGTAGGCTGGGCAGAGCAGGGCTGCGCAGGGCTGAGGGAAAAGGGGGGTGGGTGGCAGGACGGAGGGTGATAGCCAGCGGCACCGCGTTTTCTTTGCGGTGCGGAAGCTGCTCTGAGATTGGCTGTGGTGGTGGTCCCGCTGCCTGTGAACGAACTAAGACCGCTGAATTGTGCGCTGTAGGTGGGTGAGCTGTATGGCACGGGTAGCATATGTTGGGGCTGGCAGAAACCGATTTCAGCTCACAGGCCATGCCTCCTGACAAGGCACCACTCTGTGGGCGCGGCGGGGAGCGAAGCAACCCCTTCTGCAGGAATCCTTTCCCCATGTCAGCTTTCTTTTCTTTTTTATTTGTATTGATTAGAGAGAACATTGATTTGTTGTTCCACTTATTTATACATTCATCGGTTGCTTCTTGTATGTGCCGTGACGGGGATTGAACCCGCACCCCTGGTGTATCAGGGCAACTCTAACCAGCTGAGCTGCCCGCCTGGGGCCCCGTCTCAGCTCTGACGTCCAACAGTCCAAATCTCTTCCCTTGTTACTGTGTGACCTCGGGCAGATGAGCGGCCCGTTTAAGCCTCAGTTTCTCACCTGTAAACCGAGGCTATAAAAAGTACTTAGCACTTAGTAAACACAGAATAAATGTTTCCTATTATTATCAATCCTCCATTAGTTCAACAGACATTAGTGGACTCTCCTGCGTGCAACTGGCCAGGGAGATAAAAGCCCCGGCGCGGGCGTTCTGGTTGGAGGCAGACGCAATCTGGCCTCCGAGACAGACGCTGGCACTGCGGAGGGAAAAGCTTTCTGAGGAAGAAGAGGGAGGGGGAATCCTGACTGCTGCGAAGGCCACATACTGTTTGTTTTTTTAATTTACATTGTTTCATTTTGCTTGAAAACACTTTTGTTTAACCCGTCATCATTGTTTTAGTTGTTCTTGGGGACCCTGATTTGATCAAAGAGGGAAATGCTTCCATTTGCCCAAGATGGACTCTGAAACATTGATTTTTATTTGGGAGATGTGTTTACACTCAGTTTTGGGTGTTTTTTTCTTTTTCTTGGTTTGTTTGTTTTGTTTTGTTTTTACAGCACAGAAAGTAAGGGTTTATTTTCAGGAAGTGGCCTGGATGCAGAGACAGGGGAGCTAATGCTCAAAGAGCTGGCTCTACATGCAGTTTTTATTTATTTAGTTGAGATTTTATTTATTTATTTTTAAAGTGAGGAGGAGGAGAGGGAGAGAAACATCTATGCGCAAGAGATACATCAATCAGTTGCCTCTCACAAGCCCCCAACTGGGGCCCTGAACTGCAACCCAGGCATGTGCCCTGACTGGGAATTGAACCGGCAACTTTTTGGTTCACAGGCCTGTGCGCAGTCCAGTGAGCCACACCAGCCAGGGCCACATTCGGTTTTTAAAAACCACCTAGCATGTTACATGAAGTTTGTTGGGAAGTCTGCCTTAACCTTTAACCCTTCTTCCCATTTCCTGGCCAGATGTCACAGATGTTGGGGGGAAGGTGGCACTTTAATGGAGACCCTGCACCCCAAGATCTGTCTTCTACTTCACTGGTCAAAAAATCCACTTGTATAAAAGAGAAAACAAAAGAAACAAAGAAGGAAAGCTCGTTGCATCAGCCCAGCCAGAGCCGGCCGTCACTCTGACTGAGGCGTCACGATAGAATTCCCAAGAATACCCGCTGGCGGGGGAACACTGCCCCCACCAGCCGGCTGCCTGGTAGCCGAGGCAGGCCTAGAGGTCACCAAGGCACCTTTGTCCAGGCCTCGGTGAGACCTGGCCCCCACCGGGACGGGCGCTTCAGACACGCCCGTCCTCTCTCAGGGGCTGTGTCTGTCTCTGGGCCCAATTCTTAGCCCTCGGGCCCTCCCTGCCGGACTTGGCCTTTCTTCACCCAATGAAGGCCTGCACGTCCTGTGCAGCTCTGGCTTCTTTGTCGCGGTCACAGCCTGGTTCCCTGATGGGACTTGGAGCCACACCTCCCAAGCAGATATCTGCCCACATGGTCTCTGAAAGTGTTTGCTCTCAGCAGATGGCCCCCCTCCACCCATTCTGGGAGGTTCTTTTTGTAATTGTTCCCAGAGCGTTAACCTATCTCCCGATTTGTAGCCCCCTTGCCTTTCTGCAACGTTGATGATAACACTTCTGAGGCATTGATACTGCTCTTCTGGACCTCGTGCAGCCCCAGGATCGGGGCTGGCACCCAGCCAGCCGGGCAGCGCCGGCTGTTGACTACCGAGCTGGTTCTGATTGCTGAGTGTGCTTGACTTTTGTCGTCAGATATTTTAAAAATCACCAGAATCTGTGCAGATTATTTCATTAAATCCTTACGAGCCTATTGGGTACGTACTGTTTCTCTTCCCATTTTACAGATGAGGAAAAGCAGCACAGATGTGCGGAGGAACTCATCCAAGTGCAGCCGCTGGGCCCTGAACCGAGGTTTGTCTGACCCTGAGCCCGTCCTCTCAGCCACCACCCTGCCCCCTTGAGCACCCTGACCTGCGGCAGCCGCTGCCCACTAAACTGTTAAGATCTAAAGCCCAGCCTCTTAGCAAGGGACAGGCGGGACAGCCGCTCTCCAGGACCACTGGGGCCTCGCTTCCTGCGGGGAACACGCCCGACGGGGAGGCCAGGCCAGTAACCAAAGCTCTTGGGAACTGGACTCATTCTTTGCCACATGTGCCAGGAGCGGATCCAGCCAGCCCTGCCGGGGCTGCTGGGGCCATTCAACAGGTTGGTCGGCAAACGTGACGGGAGCCTCTGTTCGGGCCAGGCCTGCGCCCCCCAGAGTCTTCAGAGACCTTGCCTTCGGAGCACCAGGAGCTTCTCCTGCTAAGAGGGGACAGCCACAGGCCACGTCTTTCTTTGGTGCCCCAACCATGTCCCTGAAGTTCCTGCCCTCTAGGCTGGGGACCACCCTGTCAGTGGCCAAGGAGACATCCAGACTCAGAAGACTCAGCCGACAGCTAAGGCCTGTGGCCATGCCTCCTGACACCTCATGCCAGCTACTGGCTGCAGCCGGCAGAGGGCTCCAGCCACCCGGGGTGGGCAGAAGGACCGAGACTGGCCAGAGGCAGGGTGCTGGGGAGCGTTGCAGTAGGACCCGCAGGCCGTGATGCCTGAGCCTAGGACCCATCTCCCCCCCATCCCCTCTGCTAATGCTCGTGGGTCAATGCTAGGAGGTGAGGAGCTTATGGGAAAGGTCCTGCGGCCCAGTGTGTCCCACGGAGGGGTTGGGAAGGGAGTAAGGACTAGTGGAGTCCAGGCACCCCCCTCCCTGGGGCCGTGTGCAGTCCCTCACACCCCCTCTCACAGAGGGCCACCTGCGCTGAGCCTGTGGCACACCAGCCTTCTCCCCAGAGCCCTGCCTGTTCCTGGCACGAGTGCTGTTTTCCCAGAGTTACGGCTTCCCACAAAAGCTGACAGCTGCTGGGGAGAGGACCCCAGGCTGGCACCTGACTTTGCCCCCCCCCCCCCCGTCCCGTGTGTCCCTTTCCAGGTCGTGTGTGGCCTCATAGCCCTTCCAGGAGCCTCAGCCTCTCTGAAGCCCCCTCCCCTTGCTCCCCTGGTGAGGGGGTGACTGCAGAACCTCTTCGTTTCCTCCTTGGGGAAGGGCAGTGGTGGGGGGTCCTCTGCTTGGGGCACACGGCTAAGAAGTACTTCCCCTGGTTGTGCCAGACCAACCCCCTGGCTGCTGCCTGACACTGGGCATGGCGCTCAGGTGAGGACGCCAGGGCAGCTGGGGACATGTGACACGGGAGAAGTCCTGTTACTCTGCTTGGAATGACAGGGGTTTTGGTGGAATCCCACGCTGCCGGGGCTGCCGGGCGGTCAGTGGGGTCACAGGAGCAGGCGCCCTTTAGGAGGCTGAGCTGGGCCTCTGTGCATCAGTTGAAGCCACCCCAGCTGTACCCGCCTTGGCCCACGGCCTTGCTCATTCCCAGACCTGCGGGCACAAGGGTGAGGAAACCAGGCCAACCGCCTGGCCCAAGAGGGCGTCTTCAGCTTTCCCCCTGCGGCTGCTGCAGGACTTGGGTTGGCAACGTGGGCAGGGGCCTGGTCCTTCCTGCCTGCCTGCCTCCCGCCGTGCCCTCCGGAAGGCAGCCAGCAGGCCAGCTGTGTGTTGCTGGCCAGAAGCCAAGTGCAGCTGGATGGAGTGGCCCAGGCTGGTGACATTCCTGAGGAATGCCCACAGGGGGCAGGTGAGACCACCGTCAGGGTGAGGAACAGCTTTGGGACCCAGGCAAGGTGCAGGCGTTCATCTTTGGCCTCGGACCGGTGCCTGGGGTGCTCCTAACCCAAAGGATGAGGCGGTAGGGGGGGGGACCGGACGCCCAGGGTGGCAGCTCGTAATCTCCTGGGACTCAGAGCCGTCAGGACCCCTGGCTGGCACTTCCAGCCCTCCACTCACCTGGCCCATGTTGGTCTGGCCCAACTGGGAGAGCTTACAGTGGAGAGAGGCACTACCGGTACACGGGTTCGGCTGGCACACACCAGCACTGTCTTGAGCAAGCTGGGACGCGCGCTCCCTCAGGAGCGGGTTTGCCAGTCTCGTCCCTGCACGCCCTCTGTGCACCCCGAGCTGAGTCACACAAGATGAGCCCTTCAAGGACAGCTCCCCACAGGAAGTTTTGTGCAAGTGATGTTATCATTCGAATGAAGACGACCATTAAGTCTCAACCTCAAAAACTTTATTTTTGTCTATTCATCAAGGGCACAGGATCCCTTCGGCAGCTCCAACTTTTGCTTGCTTTTCTGCTTACAGACTTTGTTCCATCGCCTATACCCAGGGATATCCTGTGTGGCCAGCTTCCTGGAACCAAAAAATATTTTTGCCTTCCGGTTAAGAACGCTCAAAGTATGGAAGTGCAAGTTGCACTATTTACAGCAGCAGATTCCAAGCTGCCCGCTAAAACCCAAGAACCTTCTGCATTAGGATGCAGGTTCAATTGTCATCCCTGTGGGTCACCAGACAACTCAACGAGCTGACCCATTGCCATAGCTAAGTTCCTGCTCAGGTTCAGACACCGCTACACTCCAGAGCACGGCACATACCAACATCTAGGACTGTGTCTTTCAGATGCACAATGTGAGGCAACTGTTGGGATGGTTGTTCCAGAGCTGGTTATTCTGAACCTTGGAGAAAACCAGTTCACCACATTGGACTCCACCTTTAACTACGTAGAGGTTCATTGTCACCAAGACTCCCAGGCCTATTCTAAGGTTGCCTTTCTGCACAATCCCCTTCGGTGTGTAACTAATCCTTAGTAAAAAAATAAAAAGCTATTAGGGCTTCAGTATCTTGCTACAGCTTCAAATACACGTCTTGTCTGAGGGGAGCTCTTTTGCACATCTTAATATTAATATACAATGCTGCTTGCTAGCCAACATTGGTCAAGAAAACTTTCTATACTGAAAAGGTGCCTTAGACCAGTAAGCCTCGCACCTCTGAATTAAGACTTGCTATATGAAAAGATCCATAAAACAGTTAAGAGGGTCATTGGAACAAATCCTTAATTGGGCCCTAGTATTAAAAAATTTCCCTTCCTTGGACATCGTTACACCCCAAATTATTGCTGGACATGAAGGGAAGACTAACATTTTATCTTAAGCTCACACTGCAAATACAGCGGAGGATCTTTTACATTTTTCTGTTAACTATTTTTCTAACAACCTAAACTCAAACTTCAGGATACAAAGAACTTAGATTAATGGATGTTTGTGCATTCAATTTAGGTTTTTGACACTTAGTTGGATAAACAAGTTTATTTGTAAATTTAGTCAACATACATAATTGACCTAAAAACTTCAATAGGAGGGTAAGTTTTAAAACCACTTGGAAGACCATCTCTATAAAGTGATTTTCCCAGGCCCATATACCAGATGTAACCTAACTGGACACCATCTTAACAGGCAGAGGATAGGTAAGCTGGAGCCATGTGCCCCACCCCCACAGCAAGTTTACACTAAGGGTTATAATACAAACTCCACAAGGGAAAAACTCAGGTATTGGTTCCTCTTGGTACAGGGAGAAAAAAACCTAGTTATGAAACCAACCACAACACAAAAAAAAAGCTGCACTAACTAGATCAAAATATTAGTAACAGATGATGCTGGTGTGAATAACTTGTATATTCTAGAGCCCTTATAAATAAAATCCCCGTAATAGTTGCATTATCAGCTAGAGGGTTAGTTAACATGTGGTAGAATGAGGACTTATGCAAGGTATTAATTTGCAAAGCATTTTACTACTATGAAACAAGTGCAGTCTAGTTAGGAGAAAACCAACTGGACCCTAAATTACAACACACCTTAATGACAAGACTCCCCACATGTGAATGTAAAACATTTAATTTAAAAATGTTGACACTACAATATATAAAATAGCTATTATAAATGCACATAGTGTATTCTATAGCTGCCATGTTTACTTTTTTTTTTTTTTTTTAAGGAAACTGTAAGTTACACTGTGGTTAAGACTTGTATCTTCACCCTTGGAAAAGCCCACATTCTATCACAGTGATGCATGGTCAGACTTAACAGCCCCAATTGTTAAACACTTGGATCAAGTCATAACCAGTTTTATTGCAAAAGGACCCTGTACACATTAATCAATTCTAGTACCTTAATAGCTACCCAACAAGTCATTAACATACAGAAACATGCATCATGAGAAGCAAGAAGTATCACCCATCCCTTCTGCATATTAGCAACTTGTCACTCCTGAGCAACAGTGCTCACATCACTGAGGTCTGTGAACAGTCACTTTTCGCATTCATCCTGAGTGAAAGATGGAATGACTTAAGTACAAATGCAACATATTATAAACAATTTCTTACAAAAAAAGTCACAAATTAAACCAAAGTATTTTACAGAATTTACTACAAAACACCATAAAAACTGCCTTCACTTAAGCTCTCTCTCCCCGTATCCGGCGAGCCAACTGGATGTCTTTGGGCATGATGGTGACTCTCTTAGCGTGGATGGCACACAGATTAGTATCTTCAAATAAACCCACCAGGTACGCCTCGCTGGCCTCCTGTTGAGGACAAGAGCCACACTATTAGACTCTCTCCGGAGAGAGGAGAACCGGCTTCTCGCCCTCCGCCCGCCGCGGCCTTTGTCGTCTCACCTGCAGCGCACCGATGGCGGCACTCTGAAACCTCAGGTCGGTTTTGAAATCTTGGGCGATCTCCCTCACCAACCTCTGGAAAGGCAGCTTCCGGATCAGAAGCTCGGTCGATTTCTGGTAACGACGGATTTCTCGAAGCGCAACGGTCCCGGGCCTGAGCGAGGAGAATGTAAACGGACACCAGTTAACTGACAGCGTCGGCGCCCTACCAGGAACCGTTCCCGCGCCAGCCAGCCAGCGCCGCCGAGTCATTGTTTTCCCTCTGCTTTGCCTACCTGTAGCGATGAGGTTTTTTTACCCCGCCGGTAGAGGGAGCGCTTTTCCTGGCAGCTTTAGTGGCCAGCTGTTTGCGGGGCGCTTTCCCACCCGTGGATTTACGAGCAGTCTGCTTGGTTCGGGCCATTTTCTTTCACCTAAGGGAAAACATCGATGACACCATGGCCGCGGCGCTCGCCAGGGTTTGGGGTGAGAGAAATGGGACAATCTCCGCGCAGTGCCCCTGCTCTCCCACCTCTTCGCGCCCCACCTCGCGGCGGCGGCAGATGGCCGAGGAGGTGCCGCCTCCTCCCCCTCCCCTAATGACTCAGGCTGCGAGTAGCAGCAGCCTCCCCCGGGAGGGGGAGCGCGGGGAGGAGTCACTTCCCCTCCTCGACGGGCGGAGGCCCTGCTGCCCGGAACCCAGCGCCGGGACCTCTTAATCATCGGCATGAAAGACGACAGAGACGCGATTCCGGAACGAAGCCCCAGATGAAAAACTGCCGACCCCATACCCGATGCCAGCGGCTCGAGCAGCTCGCACCAGCCGGCACTCGGCCCCCAACGGCCACGGCCCGCGGCATCAACGGCTGGCGCGTCCTCAAGTCACGGGTAAAACCATGAAGGCTTACCCAACGCCGAAGTCTCAAGCCGCTTCTTCGTTCGCCGCGCCGCTTCTGCTGCCCAGGAAAGAGCCGCAGTCGCCCAGCACTCCGAAACAGCTGTCCCAACGAACACCCAAACCGCTTTGCTCCGACCCCCCCAATGCCTCCGCCTTTATACCCACGCTACACGCTGCGTCTCTGCGTCATAGGACTCTCATTTGCATACACCAACGACTTTTTCTATTGGTCGAAGCTTTCGCCGACGCGTTGACATCCCCCGACACAAAGGCCGTGCTTCGGCAGTGTTCTCTGATTGGTGGATATCTAGGCCGTTGATTGGCTGTTAAAGTGGCCCAACGATTGGACGAAAGCAAAGGGAAATGGACGAATCAGAGTTTAGCAGTAAGCGGCTCTTCTCATTGGATGAAATTGGGCTATGTTTGGATCCTTCCCTTGGTTCCAAAGCTCTACAATAGAAAGTCAATGCAAATCAATTGCATTGGTCCCCATCTGGTCCACAGAGTCCGGATAGGCAGAAGACTAACCTTATTTGCATCGAGAGATGCAATCAATGTAGGAAGAGATTACGTTAATAAAATTTTTGTAAATACTTTCCATTGCAAAATGAAATGTGTTTTCTATTATTACTTTTCATTAACATTTTGGTAGTTTCAATTTGTGTTTTTGTTTCCAAGTCTTATTCAAGAACTCCTAAACTATTTCAGGTAAATGTTTTCATTGACTTTAACATTTTGATAGTGAACAATGTAGTGTAAGTGAAAATTAGAATTCAGTAAATCATATATTACCAAGTATTTTATAAATCTGTCACATACCTTTTAACCAAAAAATCAGTTCTTTTGTTTGGTAGCATGGAAAGGGGCAAATAATAGCTACAAAGAAACAAATATCAATAAATGATTTTGTAAGTACCGTTTTGTATGCTGCCAGGCCAGCCGTCACAAAATGCTTTGTGATTTCAATATGTAATTCAGCTGAATGAAATTGAAATTACTACAGCCAACATGGGAATTGTCCTACAACAACATTTGCATGTCTATAACAAATAAAGATAAGACAACTATATTCAATATGTGCCCCTGTGTTTAATGATATATCCTGGAGATATTGACTTGTGTAGAAACATGACAAATGTATAAAAATGTTCATTCCTATCCTTGCCTAAATAAATGCCTTGGATGGGTTGCAATATTCAGCACTCCAGTGATTCAAGTATGTAAAATACCAAAGCAGGTTTAAGGTTAAGACCAGACAAACAAAACTCAGAAATTTAAATGGAGCCTTGGGCATTCTATGCCACTATCTTTCCTCTGGGTTCACTGACTAGTTCAAGTTATTAAAATCTTTTTATTTTAGCAAAATCAGTTACATATAGATTTCAACTCAGAGAATTATTACACATAAATACCTCAAAAATGTACTCGTGACACCAGAAGTCCCTTCTCAGTATCAACTGTGAGAGGGAAAAAAAAAAAGTACAGTTTGGAAAAGTATCTGGCACAAATGTCTTTGGCCCAATCTCTGATACCGAAGTACTCTCATTATTTCAGCCCTTTCAATTATAACATTCAAAATATGTATTAATCATATATTTAGGCTTTTGTGTGATCATTTAATCAACTTTAATTTCTGCCTTCTGCTCAGAGGTTAGGACAGGGGAAAGCTCTCTAATTCATTCATCGCACGCTGACAGGAGAAACCAAGGCACAGGGAGGCTCCTGCCCTACTCTCAGAACCTGTGTAAAGAAACAGGGCATCGCTTAGACCTCGCCGGAGACTGTCAAATATTCTGAAACGCAACTACACAAATACCCTGCCATCTTTTTTTCCACTGCTCACATGGCTTGGGGACCTCGCCGGAGACTGTCAAATATTCTGAAACGCAACTACACAAATACCCTGCCATCTTTTTTTCCACTGCTCACATGGCTTGGGGAAGGAATGGGCTCCTTGAAACAGTGTTCCTATTCCAGTGTTTTTAGAGGTGATCCAGAACCCTGTCTGTCCCACGCCTCCTAGGCGAGAGACAGTAATTTTTTTTTCAGTTTTGCTAATTATTACAGAGGAACTAAAAGTGTTCCACGAGCAACCAGGTGTGGATTTACATTCATCTATTTAAGGACAATTGGTGAAAATTGTTTATCCTTCTTGTCAGTCACACTGATTCGTTTTTTGGATTTTTTTCCCCCCTAAATGGGTGCGCGGGGGCGGCGGGGGGGGGGGGGGCCACACAGGAAATGCAGAACTGCAAATGTTTATACAATCAAAACAGTGCAGAGTATACAACGGTTCTAGTTCCTTTTCTGTCACAGACTTGCTGAGTAACTCTTTGCAAGTTACTTAACCTCTCTGAGTTTCGGTTTCCTTTTTTTTGTAAATAAAGCAGATTGGATGGTCTCTCCCAATTCTGTCAGTACAGTTACTTATTCTAAAGCTCATGCTGTACACTTACTTCAAATCTAGCACTATGCACTATGTTTCTTCATTCAAATCACACTTGAGTGTTTTGGGGATAACATATAAGCCAATTACTGAGATTTAATAATGGAATTAAAACAAATACACTTCAACTTTTATTTGTCCTTTTGTAATTTTTCATCTTCCAACGCCCCTAGTGGTTAAACAAAAACATTCAGCCTATTTAAAAAATACCAGTTTCATCCTGGCAGGGTAGCTCAGCTGGTTAGAGCATCATCCAAGGTTGCTAGTTGCTAGCTTCATCCTTGGTCAGGGCACATACACGAAGCAACGAATGAATGCATAAAATAAGTGGAACAAATCGATGTTTCTCCTTCTCCCTCCCTCCCTGCCTACTCTCTCTCTAAAAATCAACTAAAAAAAAAGAAAAGAAAAATACCAGCTTCTCAACTTTGTAGGCTGACAATTTGGCTTCTGATGTGAAGTTGTTGGGAACTAAATAAAAGTAAGTATGTGTGTCATTCTTAAATATTAAGTTTTTCATTCACCCCATCCTCCCTCACTCTAAGGTTATTGAGAATGTTTCTTTAATGGGTTGATTAGTTAGCAACAGCGTTAAAATATCTTCGAAGAACTTTATAAAGCTCACAGAATCAAATGCCTAGGTCCAGGGAGGACTGGCTTATTTTACGAAGGCCACAGAGTGAAAACTTAGCCCCCTGGTGAGAAGCGGGAAGGCGAGACATTTTCCCAAATAGAAAGGCTGACGTTCAGAGCAAGAAAACTAGAGGATCATAAATCGCACCACTTCCTCAAACCCGGACCCTTCTTCTGGACACTGTATTATGCCTCTCAACGCCCCTGCATCTTGCCAGTGTACCTGAGACTATTCCAAACGGAAATTAAATTCGCCCTTGGCCCCTAATGTACTGGGAACAAGTTGATCAGGCCAGGTGTTGAGGTGAGAAGAGAACCAAATCGTGGAGTTCCAGGTTTCAGGGTTGCTAAATGTTTATGGAGCGCCCCCACCAAAGACGCGGGAACCGAGTATTGCGTCGTGTAGCTCTTCTTCAGCAAACCTTTCTCAAACTGATTTCCAACTGGCAGACTTTCCTCCGTTCCTAATCCCTAGTCCCGCGGCGGAATTGAGGATGTGGGCGCACTCCCAGTGCCTGCAGTACAAACGGACCATGCCAGATTCTTAAGCACTGCTAGGGGCTTGCATCTAAACTGAGCCCAAGCTATACCGAGTCTGGAGGCGAGGTAATTATTACACTCTTGGCAGTAAAATTACACCTGGAACTGTGTTTCACCGAAGTTTTTAGGGCCTCCCTAGCTCTGGGCCCCATCTACTCCACGGGATCCAGTTTCAAGGAAAAGTACCTCTACGAAGCAGGGACTGCGTTAAGAAGAAACGCGGTCGGACTACAGTTCCCAAAAGCCTTCGCGGGCCCTCAGCATCCGGGACACCGTCTGCAAGGACGTCTGGGTATTGTGGTCCGTTACTTCGGCAGTGACCCTCTGTCGACGGTAAAATTCCAGCCGAACCGAGGACTACAACTCCCAGAAACCCTTGCCCCCGTGCGGGGGGTCTTCACGTTCTCGTGCCGCGGCGCAGGCGCACTGAGTCCTCGGCGCGGACCGCGCAGACTGAATAATAAAAGGGGAGCGGCGAAGAGGCAGGAAGACAGGACCATGTCGAAGGGCCCCGGGCCCGGCGGCTCCGCAGCTTCCTCGGCGCCCCCGGCCGCTACCGCTCAGGTGCTGCAGGCACAGCCTGAGAAACCGCAGCACTACACGTACGTAGAGCCCCCCCCCCGCCGCGCGCGCACGCCTGACGTCAGCGGCCAGCGTGAGTCACGCGCGCAGGGAGAGCGCGAGGCGGCCTCTCCCTCCCCCCCTTCCTCCTCCGGCCCGGCCCAGACCGGTTCCAACCTGCTGGGGCCGGTCCCGACCGCCTCCAACTGCCAGCAGGCTCTGGTCGGGCCTTGGGGCGGGAAACTCGGCCCCGCCGCTGAGAGGGAAAGGCAGGAGCACGGGGTGCGGAGGGCACACATCTCAGGCCAGGCCTTCGAGGCCTAACTATTCCTCAGACCGTAAATCACAGTACCAGGCCCTTGCGGGTCGAGGAGGAGTCCAAGGCCCGACCAGGATGAGATTCTTAGGGGCCAGCCCAGGGACCCCCCATGAGTGACGATTCGCGTGAAGTCCAGGCCTTTCCTGTCCCTAAGGCTCGCATGTTTTCCACTACACAGTTGACCTAACCTGGAGTCAGGGATCCCGAGCATCATGGGGTCGCAGGATGTTCTCCGGCCCAACCGAAATGCGGCTTCCCAGGGAGAGCCCCAAATGCTGACACTACAAAGGTCCAGAAAAATGGAAAACCTTTTCCTGCGAATCTGCTTGTGTCTAAGTGTAGGTCCCCGTCTTCCTTCTTTTTATTGCCTTTGAAGGCACAGTAAGCAACTCCCTGGTGCTAGGTGCTTTGGGAGAAAGAAAGATGAAAAGAGGCGGGCCTTCCTGTGAAAGCAAAATGTTGGTGTCCATGTTCCCCGATTCTGTCTGAGCGCCTCTCCTCCCCATGGGCTCCTGAGCCAAGTGCATCTTTAGAAGGTCCCCAAATACACCCCTGCCTGGAATAGCCCGGGAGAGCCCCCTGGTGAACCAAGAGCAGGAAGCGTCTGTGGGAGCAGAAAGAGCTACAAGTAGCCAGGAGGAGCTCTTGCCACAGAAGTAAAACCCATTGGGAAACTGTTCTGGGATCCGGGAACTCAGCCTCAGGAAGCGTGTTGGTTTCTTGGTGAGCTGCTCTGCTATTGGTTGAAATCACTTGAAGCTTTTCCTTGAGTACTGTCAGGCTCATGGTAACTGTAACCCTTCTAATGAGACGGTGGCTTGGCTGGTCCTTTCTTACTGGACTTCTTCCTGCAGGCCTGCCATTGTTTTGGTGAGATGGTCTCACCGTAGAGAATACTGATTAGTTGACTGTTGCAGTCAATCAACAGTGTGGTCTTGATTGGGAAATCTGTAAACTTCGCATAATTGGAACTTTATAAACTGGTTGCTCGAATCACGTTTTTCAGTAAATGCCTACAACGTTTTGAGTAATGCGAGTCTGGGTTTCAGCAACCTCTTTCTGTGTTGTGTTGTCCTTGAGTATACTGAGGCGTCTGTTAAAAAGCCTTTCTGATCATTATGGAGTTGACAGATGAAACGAGTCAACATCTGTGTGTAAATAAATGTTACTATCTGAGTCTTTGTCCTCTTGATGCTCATTAGCTTTCCACTCCTTGCAGAGCAAATGCAGAGTAATCAGGTTTGGCTCTTTAGGTGGCTTAGTAAATCAGCGGTAAGTTTGATTGGGTGGTTGGAGATTGTAGGTATTACCATCTCTTTATTTTCTGTTGCCTGTTCGTGTGTGTGTTTTTATGTTAATATTTCCAAAAATCAGAGATAGAAGTCAGCTGTCTCCCTTGGTAGATCTATGGGTATTCAGAAGTTGTGATGACTGGGAAAACTTTGTTCCCTTGACATCTCAAGTTTGAGAAGCAGGGGGGACGAGGTCACTGAAGATGAATGGCACCAGTACACTTGCTGGCTCTGGTTTTGGTTTTTGTTTTTTTTAAGATGAACCCATTTGTTGCTTTGTGGTTTGGGTGAGGATACAGTGATACTTCTAGGTTTATCCTTTCTTTTTTTAACTTTAAAAAAATTTTATTGATTTTAGAGAGAGAGACATCAATTTGTTGTTCCACTTATTTATGCATTTATTGGTTGTTCTATGTATGTGCTCTGACCAAGGAATCGAACCCACAACCTTGGCATGTCGGGACAATGCTCTGACTAATTGAGCTCCCCGGCCATGGCTGGATATGGGAACGTTTTTATTTTGATTTCAGTATTTGTTACACAGCTTTGAGCTGCTCAGCAATTTTTCATTCTTCGTTGCAGCATGAATTTCCAGAATTTGTGCCAATCTCTCTATGACCTTAGCTGCTGTGCCGATATTGTCATTGAACACAGGTATCGATACAGCAGCTAAGGCCATTTTGAAAGTTTTTTTGGTTTTTTTTAACCTTTCAAAATTTTTACTTTTACAATTTTTCTTATACATTAATTAGATTGATTTTGTGTATTTTTTTGTACCTGTGTTCTGTGAGATTTTCTGACATGCAATAATCTTTGCAATGATGAAGAAATTTGCATTAAAATTGAGTCCCACGCATCATAATGGCAGACAGTCTTGGCAGACAATATTGAATCCACCGAAAGCAACAGTTGCCTTCCTGTATCCAATATTTCCCTTCTTGTGTGCCGTCTTCCATTTATTCTTGTCCCACAACTAAAGTCCTAGAGTTTGAGCCCTCTTTTTTGTAAATTAAGAGGGTTATCCATAACATAGTTTGAAGGATAATTATTTTGTTGGTATTTTTTCTAATCTCCTGAATAATCTTGATTTAAGGGAAACGTTAAAATAATCCTGTCAGCAGGCACTTGTATTAGACCTGAGGAATTCGACCCTTTTAGAAAATGATTATATCAGAATTTCTTCTGTCAAGCAGCTCCAAGTATGTGATTAACCCTCTAAAATGATAATGTGCATGTATTAGTACTCATCCAATATAAGAAACATGTGACCTTTTGCTAGGTAATTTGTCTTTTTATTTCACAAAGACTAAAGTTTACCCAGGTTTATTCAGAACAAGGTCACCTTATATATCAGAAGAGTTTTAGCCGTGGATGAGTAGCTCAGTTGGTTAGAGCGTTGTCCAGATGCACTAAGGTTGCGGGTTCGATATCCTGTCAGGGCAAATACAAGAATCAAGCAATGGATGCATAAATAAGTAGAACAACAAATTGATGTTTTTCTCCGCCCTCCCCCCCTTTTCCTGCTCTCTAAATAAAACTTTAAAAAATTTTTTATTTATTTTTAGAGGGGAAGGGAGAAAGAGAGGGAGAGAAACATCAATATTCGAGAGATACATCAATTGGTTGCCTGTTGCACCGCCCCCCCAGCTGGGAATCCAGTCCGAAACTCAGCGCCCTGATCAGGAATCAAACCGGCAACCTCTTGGTTCGCAGGCTGGCACTCAATCCACTGAGCTACAGCAGCCAGGGCTACAATTTTTAAAAAAAAATTAAAATTTTTAAAAAGGTTTTATAAAAATAGATGTAAGATTGGGACATTTTAGAGCAATTATATTATGAAGTATCTACAAATTTAGCTAATTTGGGGCTTATTACTATATAACAATTGTATCATAAGTTTGACCTTAAAAGAACCTTAGAGACATTAAATCGTGTTTGGATTCCTTTGCCTGCAGTTGATTCTCAAACTTCTTAATGCCCCGTGTTAAAGGAAAATGAATTTCTAGTTCCAGGAAGGTTTTTTGGAGTTTCTGGTCATTGGGTGATTTCGTATAGGCAGGCAGAGATGAATACTTTAAAGATTTATTTAGCCAAGTGTCATTTTAATTCAGGATTTTTTCCTGGGATCTTTAAATAGAATAATGTAGCAGTTAAGTCCATAGATAACTATTTTGAGGCAAATTTGTTAGTGTGTACGTTATATAAATATCATGAACTTTACTTGATTGCATCTGATTGTGTTTTGGAAAATCCGGGGAATGAACATGTATTTAAGTCATTATTGCAAATTGCAGTAAAATGGTAAATACATTACTAGAGTACAACTTGTTGCACAACAGAAGTCACTGGAAGTGTTGCTTAACAACCTCAGCAAGAATGAGTTAAATTACCAATAAATATTTCTGAATCTTGTTTACTTATTTATCAAGTAGAAAAATTTCTTTCTCTCTTTCTCTTTTTAAATTGATTTTAGAGAGAGAGGAAGGGGGACATAGAGAAAGAAAAAACATCTGTCGTTCCACTTATTTGTGCATTTATTGGTTAATTCTCGTATGTGCCATGACAAGGGATGGAACCTGTAACCCTGGAGTATCAGTACGATGCTCCAGTCAACTGAGCTAACTGGCCAGGTCTAGAACTAGTTTCTTGTAGAACCAAAAGTAAGAGCTCATTGGGGCCTTCAATCAAGCCCCCAAAATTCCTATTTATAAGTGTTAAGTGCCCATCCTGAGGGTAGACTCAAGCTTAACATCTAGTTGATATTTGCTATAACCTAAATTAATGATTAAAGTGAAGATTTGCTTAATGGTTAAGTTTTCTTGTTTTAATCCAGCTGTGTTAGATACTAAAGAAGGCTTCCCCACAATCCATATGCATCTGCTTTGACTGGTGGTTTCTGTCAACCTACAAAGACTGACTTATTGGTGAGGGCAGCTGGACAACTCTGAGAGCAACTTAGAGAAATCCATCTTGGGCACATTCTGTAAAGGAACTCCTTCTCTGGAAATAGCACCCCAGATAAGTGCACAAAAGCAAGACACCCTCGTGGACGTACTTCCTCCCGCCTTCAACACCCTGATGCCTGAAGGTGAGGTCTCCTTCCTGTGTCTCTTAGAAGCCATGAGCTTGCTTAGGTAGCAGCGAGCCCTGCGCGTCCAGCAGGCTCTTCCGCCGCCGACCGTTGTCTGAGAGTCGCTGTTCTCAGTAAGAGAGACTTTAGGCCGGAAGAGTGATAAAAGTAAGGTTGCATTCATAGCCACGTTACTTTACATGGCGGACTGGTTTAGGGGTTATTTTCCCAAATGGGGCAGTATTTGCTTAATGATTAAATTTTTTGTTTATTGTTGATAACAAAGGAGGTTTTCCCACATATGCATCTTCCATATTTTGAAATTGCAAGTATGGACAGTTCCGGTTAATCCCAGCAGAA